GTCTTCAGGGAACATGGGCTCAGCCGCTATGTAGGGCAGTCCTGGCAGCCAGGCTCTGTCCGCTCTGCCACAGGACAGCAGGAGGGTCCCATGGGTGGGAGAACCTGGATTCAGCGTGGACCTGGGGGTGGGCAAGGAGCCCAGAGCAGCCAGGCTGAGGCTCCTGAGAGGCGGCAGGCCCGTCTAGGAGAGAAGGCCTCAGAGCGGACACAGGCCATCCCCACAGCCCCCCAGATGTGACGACAGCCCGAGGCCAGGCCAGGCCGAGGCCAGCAGCTGCTCGGTGTTTTTCCTTCCACACCCTCTAGCCCTTGGTGAGCAAGCGCCGACCCACATTTCCACTGTGCTCCAGAAGTAGGCCACAGGGAAGGCCGGAGCTGCTTCCAGCCAGGGCGGGGGGCAGGTGGAGGGTCTTCCCAGGGCTCTGGCTGCACTGGGCACAGAGCTGAGGAGAGGGGCCTGTCCCCCAGGCTGTCCCTGCAGCCACCTTCACCTGTCCCCAGAACCTGTGGACCCACAGGGCAAGCAGGGCCAGGGGAAGCAGGGGCTTCCTGCTCTGGCTTCCACACACAGCCGAAGGTGGACGGGGCGGAGCTGGGAGGTCCCGAGGGAGTGTCCCAGTCCGCAGGGGCTGACGCTGGGCTGGTGACACGGGGCTGGGAGGGAGCTGAGCCCTGTTCCTCTGGGGAGGAGCCAGCTGCCCTGTGTGCTCCCCTCTGAGTGCGGGGCTGCTGAGGAGAGGGGCAGCTGTAGCATTTTGCATCTGGTCAGCAGTGCACCGGGCCCAGGCTCTGCACTTCTCTGTAACGCTTGTTACTCTCTGTGTTTTGCTAGCAGACACGTTAATGAGCGTGAGAAGGCATCTTGTGGTGGTTTGGGTTTACATTATACTCGTGATAAGGTTTTTGTTTTGTTTTGTTTTGTTTTGTTTTGTTTTTCAGTCTGGAGGTTGAATTCAGGGCCTTTACACTGAGCTACATCCACAGCTTTTTTAAATTTTTTGTTTTGAGACATAAGCTGCTGGCCTTGATCTGTAATTCTTCTGCGTTAGCCTTCCAGCCAAGTTTTCCATGTGCTAATTGGCCATTTGTGTATCATTTTTGGATAAACAACTGTTAAGTTTTTCCCCATTTTTGAATTGTGTCCTTCAGCTTTTTGTTGTTGAGTTTTAATTCTGATATATTATGGATATTAATACTTTATCAGAAATATGACTTGCAAATATTTTCTTCAATCTTGTGAGCTGCCTTTTTTTTTTTTGGTACTGGGGATCAAACTCCGGACCTTGCGCTTGAGAGGCAGGTGGCGGCACCGCTGAGCTAAAGCCCCAGGCCCATGAGTGCCTTTTTATTACATTGATATTGTCTTCTACGCACACATACTTTATTTTCACGAAATCCACTGTGCTTTTCATTTCCTAAGAAATCACTGTCAGTCCAATGTTGTGAAGCTTTGCCTTGTCTGTCCTTTCAAGAGTTTTATAGGCCAGGCATAGTGGCACACATCTCTTATTCCTGTTAGCTGGGAGGCTGAGGCAGGAGGATTGCAAATTTGAGGCCAGCCAGGGCAAGACCCTGTGTCAAGATAAAGGAGGCCTGGGGATGTAGCTCAAGGGTGGAGGCTAGCCTGGCATGCACAAGGACCTGGGTTCAACCCCCAGTAATATACGCACACACACACACAAAGAGGTTTATGGTTTACCTATGGAGTCAATGCAATCTCTATAAAAAGAACAATGGGATTAGTGTGTTTGAAGCAAGAGGGAATGTTTTGAGAGATAAATGGCAATGTGTCTTTTACTGTAATAGTTTTTTTTAAAAATTAAACATTCATGATGTATATTTTCTGATCAAACTTTTTATTTTGGTTTTCTCCTATTCCTAGTTTGCCAAGAGTGCTGCCATTATTTGAAAGTATAAATTTTGTTAAATGCTTTTTTCTGCACCAATTGAGAAGACTATGTGAGTTATTTCCTCATTTAACCAATGCGATGGGTTACACTGACCTGTCTCCGTACGCTGCCTGAGCCATCTCACCATTCCAGACACCAGCTGCTCTTGGTCATGCTGTGTAACCCTCACGTGCTGTGGGATTTGGTTTACTAGGGCTTCATTGAGGACTTTTGCATGTGCATGCATGAGGAACACTGGTCTGTGGTTTTCTTTTCTTGTAGTGTCTCTGTCTGGCTTTAGCATAAGGGTAATTCTGGCCTCATAAAATAAGTGTTCCTTCTTCAAATTTTTGGAAAAATTTTAGTAGTAGTACTACTTCTTTAAATGTGTGGTGGAATTCAGCAGTGAAGCAGTGAGGCCATTGGGGCTGGAGAATTTTCTTCTTTCTTTTCTTTTTTTAAATTTAAATTTAAATTTGAATGTTTTTGGCTTTTTGAGACAGATTCTCGCTGTATATCCTAGGCTGGCCTCTCCAACTCCTGCCCATCCTCTCGCCTCCCAAGTGCTGGGGCCACGGGTGTGCTCCACCACAGCCACACAGCGAATTTCTTTGACGGGAGACTTTTTGTTACGGACTCAACCTCTGTGATAGTTACAGTCTCGTAGAGATTTTCTATTCTTCATCGTTTAGTCTTTCTTGGCAGGTTTGGGGTTTCTCTGCATTTGTCAGTTTCACTGAGATCATCCAATTCATCGTCCTACGGTTGTCACAGTTCTCTTTGATCTTTTCCATTCGTGTACAATCGGTAACAATGCCCCAGTTTCATCACCGATTTTATAATTGGAGTCTCCTCTCTTAGTAGGCAAGTTGTCAATTTTGTTGATTTTTTTCAAAGAACCAGCTTTGGTTCCTTTGCCTTTGTCTCTTGTTTTCTCTTATTTCACTGATCTCTGTCATAATCTTTAGTGTCCTGCCTTTTGTTAGCTTTCGGGTTAGTTCTTCCTTTTCTAATTCCTTAAGTTGTAAGGTTAGCTGCTGATTGTAAATCTTTGCTGTTTTTTTTTCAGTACCGGGGATCGAACTCAGGTCCTTGCGCTTGCACAGCAGGTGGCGAAACCACTGAGCTAAGTCCCCAGCCCCTCTTTGTTATTTTTTAATGCAAGTGTTTATAGCTGTAAGTTTCTCCCTTTGCCCTTCTTTGACTATAAATTCTGGTAGCTGTATTTTCATTTCCATTCATTCCCAGGTATTTTCTCCTTTTTCTGCGATTTCTTCTCTGACCCACTGGTTGTATAAGTGTGGTTTAATTTCCACAAATTTGTGTTTCCCAGCTTCACTTTTGTGTTGACTCTAATTTCATCCCCTTGTAGAAGACACTGCATGCACCTCCTCTGTGAGATCTACTGAGACTCAACCCCTTTCCTAACACAGGTTCTGACTGAAAAACGCCTGGTGCTGGGGAAGGGGCTGGGTGTGAGCTGCTTGGGTCTGCAGATCTTATTAGCTCACTGTGCTGTTTATGTCCTCTGTGTCCTTACTCGTCTTCTGGCTGATTGTTCTGTCCATTATCCAAGAGAGTGTACTGAAATCTGTTGCTGTGGAACTGCTGCTTCTCCCTTCATCTGGTCAGCTTCTGGTTCATGTATTTTGATGGTCTGTAAATGGTGTATGTGCTGCTAAAGAGAGCACAGGATGGTCTGTAAATGGGCATAAAATGTTTGCAATTATTCTTTTTGCTACATTGAATTTCTTATTAAAATATAATGTACTTGTCTCCTATACTCTTTCCTGCTTTAAAGCCCGTTTTGTGGCCACCCTTCTCTCTTCTGGTGACTATGTGCATGGAATACCTTCTCTGCCTGCTGTCAACCAGCTTGTGTCTCTGGATTGAATGAATCTGTTGTAGACAGCAAAGAATTGGAACATGTGTTTTATCCATGGCATGAAGCTCTGCCTTTTAATCAGAGTTTAGTCCATTTCACTACAGGAATATCAGCAGGAAAGACTTACTTTAGCCCTCCTACAACCTGTTTTCAACTAGCCTTACAGCTCTCCTGTACCTCTTGTCTTACATTACTGTCTTCTTTGTGGGTAGCTGATTTTTTCAGCGACAGGCTCATGTTCTGTGCTCATTTCCTTGTGTACATTCTATAGCTATTTTATGTGTGATTACCATGGAGATTATATTAACACCCTAAAACTATAACACTTGGGTTTGAATTTATACCAGCTTAACTTCTATGACATCAAAACTCTGCTGTCTTAAAGAACCATCCCTGCCTCTTTCAGTGGCTGATGCCACAAATTAGATCTCCATATGCTGTGTACTCAAAAATAACTTAATTCTTTAAAATGTATTAGACTCTTACGTGCAAAATGAAATGTGGAATAACAAACTAAAGTTACAATAATATTATCTTTGGACTAACAATTGTTTTGTTTTGTTTTTTGGTACTGGGGATCGAACTCGGGTCCTTGTGCTTGCGCAGCAGGTGGCGAAACCACTGAGCTACATCCCCGGGCCTAACAATTGTTTTTTAATGTATTTTCTCAGTCACTTAGACTACGAAGAGGTGGAGTTTCGGCCTCTGTCACAATATCAACTTTCCTGGTGGTCCACGTGTTATCTGTCTTGAGAGCTTCATTTCTTACCAGCTCCAAGTCATCATCTGTGTCCTGTCACGTTGCCCTGCAGGACTGCCCTGAGCATGTCAGATGCCTTCAGCCATGGTATAATGTCTGACTTCTGTCTGCTCCATCATTTTCTTCCTTTTATTTTTGGTACCGGGGATCGAACTCGGGTCCTTGCACTTGCGCAGCAGGCGGTGAAGCCACTGAGCTAAATCCCTGGCCCTCAAATCATTTTCATTACTGTACTTTTCAGCTCCAGAAGTTCTTTTTGCTTTCTCTCTAGATTTTACATCTCTATGGTATTTGCATTCTGTTTATTCATCATGCCATTGGCCTCACCCAAATCTTTCCTGGGCATCTCCAAGGCCAGTTGTTTTAGCCTGCCCAGCAGATTTGCCATTTGCTCTTTTCCAGGGATGGTTTCTACTTTTTTCCCCCCTTAAATGCATCATAAATTCCTGTTTCTTTCTAGGCCTTGAGATTTTTATTGAAAACTGGACATTGTAACCCATCAATGTCATAATTTCTAGGAATCAGATCTCCCCCTCGCCCACGGTGTGCGCTGTTCCCATTGTCACTGTGTTGTTCTGTTTAACTGCCTGTGAGTGGGCTCTGTGATGAGCCCAGGGTCAGCCCTTGGTGCAAGCTCCAGGTCCTCTCTGTCTTTCCTGAGTCTGCCTCTGGCTGTGGGGATCCAATGTCATTTTTTAGCTTTCCCCGCATATGGGGTTCCTCTTGAACTGCCCAGTCTTTCATGTCCGGCTCCCTAAAGGTGAAAAAGAGAAAATTGAAAAGGGGAGGCAGGGCACTGGCCCGAGCAGCCCTTGGAAACGCAGGTATGGGGATGGCCACCTGCCTCTGCACAGGGCGATCCTGGATGTGTGCAGGACAGGGTCCTCTCTTGCTGCCCTGGCTCCTGTGGGCCAGTGCCACCTCCTCCAGGGGTGTGTGTGGCTGCCTGCAGGAGGCTGGGGGAGGGGGATGGGCAGTGGTGACTGCAGAATGTGGCTGTTCCAGACTCCAGCATCCCAAACAGCGGCCTCAGCAGGTCCTGTGGGCAGGTTGTAAAGGGGCAGAGAGATAGGCCCCCTGCACCTTCTGCCCACTGTGTTCCCTTCATGTACCTGTGCCACTCCCTTGACTTGCTTTCTCCCTTCATGTGGCTTTGGAAAACTGCCCGTGTCTTTTTGAGACAGATGAAAAGTGCCTGGCTTTCTCACCCCCCACTCCACTCCCTGTGCAGCCAAAAGGGCTGTGTCTTGGCTGGTGGCTGTCACATCTCTCCCTCACTCCCCTTTGCTCCCCTTCTTCTCCTAATGACCTGGGACAACTTGCTTGGTGTCCCCCCTGGAGACCTAGCAGCCACCCTCTTCCGTTCCACTCAAACACCATTACAGCTCCATAGTCAGCACCGCGCCCCCACCCACTTCAGATGCTGCTGTTGCCTCTGGGGAAGGGAGGTGGCGCCCTGGCATGGCTAAGGCCAGGGCAGGAAGGATCTGGCCCACTGTTAATAATCCCAACCCCAGAGTGACCATTATAGAAGAGTCTCAGGCTCCAGCCCCACCCCCTGAAGGTTGTCCTGGAGCCCTGCACCAATCAAGGGCCTGCACTTGGACCAATCACAGGCCTGCAGCTGCTGTATAAGCAGCACTCCCCAGCCATTTCTCCCATCAGTCTAGGAGGGTTCCCTCCAGGGCACTGCCCCCCTAGTGCTGCAGTACAGGCCCTGTTAATTAAAATGAAGACTCATTTGGGGACCTGCAGACCTGCTTATGATTTATCTTGGGCAGTGTGGGACCCAAAAGTCCTGTAAATTGGCTGTCTGGCAGTAGCAGTAGCCAGCAGCTGCCTGTGTCAACTGTCAACAATCTAGCAATATCTGGTGTCACCTGGTGACATCACGATTTTCATCTGAATCAAGGAAATGAACCCTAGGCTCACTGGCCACACTTTCATTTCAACCTCAAATTCTCCCTTTAGTGGTTTTGTGGGGCAGGCTTCCTCATGAAGAATTCTGGTTTTGAGTGCCTGGAATGTCTTCATTTCCAAAGGGCTGACCATTCACATATGGACCTCTTGGATGACATTCTTTTTTCCTAGCACTGTGAAAATGTCGTCCCTTGCCTCCTGGCCCCATGATTCCTGGTGTGAAGCTAGGCCTTCATCCACACTGAGGAGCCCTTGATGTGACTCAGTGTGGGTCTCTGTGTGGGTGTGTAGGATAACGTTCTTCCCAGATTGGATGATTCCAATGACCTATTTCCTTTTGGTGGATTATTTATTCCATCTGGTCAAATCTCCCATGAGCTCTCAGTTCAGTTACAATGCTTTGCAACCCTGGGTTTTCAGTTTGGTTCTCCTCTGCAGCTTTTGCCCTTCACTGGCATCTCCGCTTGGTGAGCACCACGCTCTCACTGCGTAGACACCCACAGCTTCCTGGAGTTCTTGGGCACACAGTCTTTGTCCAGCGTGTCCAGCACCTGAGCTTCCACAGAGGGCTTCTGCAGGCAGCTGTGTTCCCCAGGTGGCCATACGTCCCTGTTTTTGCCCGCTTCATGTTTTTGTTGAAAACTGAACATTTCGAATAATATAATGTGGTAACTGTAATTAGATTCTCCCCTCCCAGGGCTTGTTGCTGTTGTTGCCTGTTGTAGTCTGTTTTTTGAATTCTGTAAAACGTGTATTCTTTCCTAGCTGTGGCCAGACTCTCCTTGGTTAACTCAGCAGTCGGGTCATTATCAGACAGAGCTCTCCTCAACTGTGGAGCCTGTCTCCAGGTCTGTGGGGCTCTGCGGGCATGGCAGGCTTATCTCTGGCACATCACTGGGCAGTGCACTCCTCGGCTCTAGCATTCACTCCTGCTTGCAGGCCCAAGGCCAGGCAGAGGGGAGAGTGCAGGGTGGCTCAGGGCTGCCCGGGCATCTGCACAGCCCCGGGGATGTATGTAGCCTTCAAATCCCCAAGAGTAGGTTGGAATTTTTTGAAGCTCCCCAGGCACACCCCATTTTCCAGCTTTCTGGTTCTGAATCAGAACTGCATGCAGAACTCAGTCTGGGTCAGAGGTACAGGAAGGAGCAGCCTGGGAAGGTGGGTTGGGGCCAACTCAGCACTTTGGGCTGCTGTGCGGCCCTGGAAGCCCAGTCCAGGTGGCTTTCAACCAGCAGTGACTCTGCAGGCCACTTAATCCCCTGCAGCAAATCCCTGTCTGTTGGCCCTGGCTGGGTTTCCCAGATCCCGGATGGAGCCCAATGCTGAGTGTGCAGGGGGCCAGGAGCTCCTCTGGGTTGGGTGCTGACAGGGCTCTCCCCAAGACCTCAGGGCAGGAAGAAGACACCTGGAAAGAGCAGTCTTGGAAGAGGATCTCCGAATGCAAAGGCCCCAGGCACGAGCAAGTGCAGGGCTCCAGGAGGTCTGTGAGGGCCGAGAGAAGTCAGGGAGCAGAAAGCAGAGAGCCAGACCACACGGCCCCATTCCAGGGACATTGAGGTGCCAGATGGGAGCGGCCTGTAGGGCTGAGTGCGGACAGAGACCGGTGCTCCTCCGGAACCAGGCCCAGGTTACAAGTCTGCGGAGCAAGCAAGGAGACGGTGCCTGTGGTGGGCGTGGCTCTGGGGGTTCTAAATGTGTCCGGGGGGGAGGCTCCAGGCTGAGTCAGCGGTGCCCTGAGGCACAGGCCATGTCCTGAAAGCCACTGTTGTGCAAGGGCCCCTCCCTGTCTGGGACCCACAGGGTCCTGGCTGGAGCCCCAACAGCCCTTTAGAGCACTGTGGGCCCTGGGCCCCTCTCAAGGACCAGGTATGACCAGCGCCAGCCTGCAGTGCCAGCTTGTGCAGGAACTTGAGCGCTCCCCAGGGCTCTGCGGGAGGCCACGCTGAGCAACTCCCTGGGTGAACACTTGCCTTTGAAATCTGCCAAGGCCTTAGGGCGTCCTGACGCACAGCAGGACAGGAGGGTAGGGGGCAGGGGCTGCTGCTGTGGGCAGCTTGAAGACAGGAGTGAGGTACTGGCCCTGTGGACCCTGGCCCATGGGACCACTCGCACTGCCCTGGACACCAGCTCAGGGAGTGTCTGTGGGGCGACCTCCAGGAAGGCCCTGTCCTCAGGGGACCTGGGCACTAGTGTCAACACACTAACCAAACATGCACTGCATAGCAGAGCTCAGTCTACACCTGGTTTCCTCCCAGATCCCACAGCTTTGGGTCCCCTGGGGTTACTTCTGTGTCCCCATCTCTGAGAGGCAGGAGTGCTCAGCACCTGTTGAATACATGAATTTGCTGCATGTACACATGTGAGTGCGTGTGTGCCCCCACAGCCAGGCGCACAAGGAAGTGCTGTCATTTGTGAGCGAGCACAACTTGCTGAGGGCTATGGCCACCCTCCTCTGATAAGGCAGCAGCTCGCTCCCTCCCACACTGCCGCAGAGCTGCACTGTCCCCACACAGCCTACCGAGCACTGGACAGAGGCATGGGGCACAACAATGAAAAGAGCTGTACAAATCCAGGCCCTCGTTCTAAGGATTTTTATCTTGAAGCACACAGCTGCTTTTTAATAAGACATGCCACACATGTTAGCATGTAATAACCCTACTTGGTTAGCGTTAAGTGAATTAGTGAGTGTTCTGAGCCCGTGCTCAGATTATGGTAAGCATCAACAGAAGGAATCCACACACACGTGGCTGCGTGTCCTGGGTGACTCTGAAGAGTGGAAAGAGGCGGTGGGACCAGAGGCCCAAACTCCAGACCTAGAGCCGCCTGCCGCGGGAATGGAGTCTGGATACTGCGTTCTCTGTTACTTCTCCGTGGTTGTGGTGTTTACTTGAAATGCAGGTTACGTCACTGGGTTCATTGGCATTCAGTCCTTGCTGGATTTATCTATTCTCTCTCTCCATCTGAGTCTGTGAAACACTGACAGGGTTCCAAAACTCAGAAGGAATTTTGTTTAGCTTAAAAGTTCTCTGGGGATTCTAACGAGCAGGGAGGGCTGGGCAACTGAGCAAGACAGCTCCCTCTCCTCCTCCACAGCTCCCAGACCCCATGACAGGGGCTCTGGAAACAATTTCCTGGCACTGAGCCACGATGAACTGTGGCATCTCCTAGTGACTCTCGAGCAGGGGAGGTGGTGGGGGCCTCAGTCAGCCCCTGTCCTCCAAAGTGCCTCAGTGGGGGTGGCCTCAGAAGCTGCCAGCACACGAATACGGGTCCTGGGAGGGTGGTCCCTTTCTGTGGCCGGCCCTCGACCTGGACTCAGTTCCCCCAGGAGGGACGGATCCCGATGCCTCCAGGAAGCACGGACACCCCTGCCCTGTGCAGCTTCAGGCCACCACGGGAGCGAGGTGATGGTGTCCGGCTGAAGCCCAGAGCCCACCCCCGCACTGCAGGTCCGGCCAGGAAGGGGTGCTGCAGCCACACCTGCGCGAGGGCCCGTGACCCTGGCTGGGCCCCTGGGACTCGGCCTGGCTCCTCAGAGAGGCGACCGCCTCCACCCCATCCCCCAGCAGGGAGGAGCAAGGGAGGGTGGTGGGTGGAGGGAGCGGGGGAGGGAGTGAGGGGAAGACAAAGCGGGGTGGGGCTACCGGCCTGGCGGGGAGAGCGAACAGCAGCGCGGCAGGCGGCAGTGGGAGCCCGAGCCCAGCCGCTCTGGGAGTCCCCTCTCCCTGGGCCGGGCCAGCCGGGCGTTAGGGGAACAGCGGGCAGGCGCCAGCTGTCAACCCCACTGCTGCCCGGTGAGTGCTGCGAGAGCTGGGGCGAGCGAGCTGCCTGGACCAGGCAGAGGTGCGGCCTGGGGTGGGGGTGGCGCTCTGTGAGACCGGGTGAGCCCTGTGCTCTACGGGACTTCTCGGGACGCTTGGCGATCTGGTGTGCTTTGCCTCCCGGCAGGGTGTCTAGAAGTGACGCAGCCCTCCCTCTGGAGCCATGGGTAGCCCGGCCACCACTGCCCTGCACAGGGCTGTCTGCACGCTGCTCCTGGCCTCCCTGGGCTGTGTCACCGGCCAGCCGCTGGGCGGGGAGTCCATATGCACGGCACGGTCGCTGGCCAGGTACAACCTCGCCTTTGCGGGCAAGTGGAGCCAAACAGCCTTCCCCAAGCAATATCCCCTGTTCCGGCCGCCTGCACAGTGGTCTTCGTTGCTGGGTAAGGCCCCCTCGGCCCCTAGCTTCCCCTGCTGAGAGGACACAGGCCCCCGACAGCTCCTGACAGCCACACAGCATAGCACATCCAACACACCTCAGCATAGGAAATATCTGTAGGCTGGCGTGGTGGTGCACGCCTGTAATCCTAGCACTCTGGGAGGCTGAAGAAGGAGGATGGATCGCAAGTTCGACTCCACCCTCAGTGACTTAGTTATTTAGTGAGACTCTGTCTCAAACTAAAAAACAATAAAAGAGCTGAGGATGTAGCTTAGTGTGGAGGCCCTGGGCTCAATCCTCAGTACAGAGAAAGAGAAGGGATTGGGGGGGGGCTTGCTAAGCACCTACAGTACGCTAGCTAGTGCTGCCCTGGTTCCAGGGTGTGGGGAGGCAGGATGGCCACTGTCAGGGGAAGGCTGGCTGCTCACTGTCACCAGCCAGGTGTCCAGCAATGTGTGGACGCAGGCTGTCACCACTGTGCCCTGGCTGGGGTGGGTGTGGCTCCTTGCCTTTCGGCTATGGGAGCTGCTGCTCAGGAAGGAGGATGTGGTGTTTCCCTCGGGTGGCTAGCTGGGGGCGCCTGTCCTGGTGGCAGCTCACGTGGCTGGGGCTCCACAGGGACAACGCACAGCTCTGACTACAGCATGTGGAGGGAGAATGAGTACGCCAGCAATGGGCTGCGGGACTTCGTGGAGCAGGGCGAGGCCTGGGCCCTGATGAAGGAGATCGAGGCTGCCGGGGAGAAGTTGCAGAGCGTGCATGCAGTGTTTTCAGCCCCTGCTGTCCCCAGTGGCACAGGGCAGACGGCCTCAGAGCTGGAGGTGCACCCCAGGCACTCGCTGGTGAGCACGGTGGGCGTGCGTGTGTGTGCGTGTGTGCACGTTTGTATGCGTGTGTGCATGTTTGACGAGGGGGACAGCCCCACGGCTGCATGGCTAAGCCTCCTCCTGTACCCAGGTGTCCTTTGTGGTACGCATTGTCCCCAGCCCCGACTGGTTTGTGGGTGTGGACAGCCTGGACCTGTGTGAAGGGGGCCGCTGGAAGGAGCAGGTGGCCTTGGATCTCTACCCACATGATGCCGGGACAGACAGTGGCTTCACCTTCTCCTCCCCTAACTTCGCGACCATCCCGCAGGCCACGGTGACCGAGGTAGGTGGACCTGAGGCTCCTGAGGACAGATGAGGCAGGGGCTCTGGGCACAGCCTGTGGCTTCTGTCTAGGGAGCCACGTGGGGCCTGGCCAGCACCGCAGGGAGAAGAGGCACACTGGTGGTGCACAGAGCCCCTCCTGGTCTCGCTCCACAGTGCCTGGCAGTCGTCGACAGTGTCTATAGTGTGATAAAAAAATAAATACAGTAAATGTTTAAATTTAAAATATTTATTCCAGTGAAAGACACACTGCCTGAATGCCCCTCACAATACCCCCTCACTTCAGACACGCTTGGCTCATTGTCCCTGTCACTTTCTGCAGCAGCTCTGGAGTCTTCCTTCATGGGTGTCTTTAGTAGTGCTGTTAAGGTTGCCTCAGTGTCCTGAGTGATTCACAACAAGGACCTTCTGTGGTAATTTTGACCTTGGGGAAGAGCCAGGGGTCATGTGGTGCCAGATCTGGTGAATGAGCTGGATGAGGACACACCCTAGGGTTTTTCCAAGCCCAGACCGGGCTCTGCTTTCTCGCATTGTCCTACTGGACACTGGGGCTAGCCCATCGGGCCTCACACATACATGCAGGTGGGCTTCTTGGACCCTGAGCCAACCCTTCTCTCCTCTACCTCAGATCACATCCTCCTCGCCCAGTCACCCAGCAAATTCTTTCTACTACCCGAAGCTGAAGTCTCTGCCACCCATGGCCAGAGTAACACTGGTGCGGCTCCGGCAGAGCGCCAGGGCCTTTGTCCCACCTGCCCTAGACCTGGTCAGCAGGGGCAATGAGATCACTGACAACCTCTCAGGTAACCTGGGCCACATCTGCTATTCCTATGTGCTGCAGGTGGGTGGTAGGGAGAGCAATGGGGCTTGGAGAAGGCAGAGAAGCCCACCAGCTAGCACCAAGGCATTCAGGGTCAATGGTGGACCAACTCAGCTCCCACCATTAGACCACCACAGATGTTTGCCTTTCTGAGTGGACCACCACCTGGACAGACAGACACAAGTCACATGTTTGTGGCATCAGCCACATCAACTCACATCATGCCACCTGCAGGCAGACTGCCCGAGAGAGGCCATCAACCCACCCCTGGGCTGGGAGTGACAGAGAGGACAGGGTGGGCATGGATGGAGCTGGCTGGCCTGGCCTGGGGACCCCATCATGGAGTGATGAATGGCAGAGAATTTTGGAGAATCCCACCCAGAGAGCTCCCACTAGGTGGGTGGGACCATGCTGTGCCTCTTCTCTACCTAGCACCCAGGATGTCTGAAGGGTACCACAGAAACATGGGAATTAGCAGGTAATTTAACTATAACCACAAGTGGATGATTTTAAAATATACAAATATAACGGAAACGGGATACAGGAAAAGGAACAATGACATTGAAGTGCCAGGGGCACAAGCCCCATACCCAAAGGGGCCACTATCACAGGTCTTCAGAAACAAGCAGACTATGAAGGTCAGGGCAGCAGGAGGCCCGGTGCTGTCACAGACCGCCCCTCCCAGAGTTCCTGCGGGGCACTCTCTCCTCACCAGCCCAGCGCAAGGCCCCTGCAGACTTAGCCTGGAGAGGCACAGCTTGGCCTGTGCTCCATGACCCCGGTGTCCACAGGGGCCCCTCTGTCCCTGTGCCTGTGACAGGTCCCTGTGTCTGGTTCAGTTCCAGAAACGCCGCTGGACTGTGAAGCGTCCCTGTGGTCATCCTGGGGCCTGTGCAATGGACCCTGCGGGAAGCTGGGAGTCAAGAGCAGAACTCGCTACGTCCTTGTGCAGCCTGCCAACAATGGCACACCCTGCCCCAGCCTTGAGGAGGAGACCGAGTGTGTCCCTGATAACTGTGTCTGACCTAGGTCTGGATCACTGAGGACTCCCAGGCGGACAGGCCGAGGGCTGACAGGGGGTCCTGCACGACCTCCCTCGGAGGCAGCCAGGTGATGGCTGCGACAGGTCCCTTCTGCAGGCGTAGGAATATGGAGCCCATGAGTCTCCGCTCTACATCATGTCCCTGTAATTTATTGCTGTTCCTAAGGCTGCCTGTGATGCTGGCAAGAGGACGCATCCAGGAGCCCTGCACCCACAAGACTGTTAAATACCTCGGACCTGGTGCCTAGGCCACCACAGCACCCCCTCCCCCGGGGCAAGGTGGCCCCCATGCTGCTCCTGGTACTGAAGCTGGGTGACACCCAGGAAACACACCGAGAGGGATGGTTTTGGAAATATGGCGCTTTCATTTATTGATTTCTGCATCTGAATAAAGGCCATCTGTTCCCGACAAATGCTGGGGCTATTCTCCCACCTTCCCTGGACAGCAGACAGCAGAGGGCGCTGGGTGCATCCACACAGAAACACTGCAAGGCGCCCAGGACACTGTCCCATCTCCAAGGCGGGACAGGCACCTGGTGGGAAAGGGGGAGCAGGCTTGTGGGGAGCCCTGCTGAGGCTTCGGAAGCTGGCAGTCAGCAGAAGCACTGCCTGATCACCCACGGGCCCAGGCGTACTCTGCAGGCAGGGAGTGACTGCAGATCAGGAGCAGCACTGGGTCACCGTGGCCACAGCCCTCGCTCTGCTCCCTCCTGCAGGGGATGGCTAATGGGGCCACAAACATTGTCTCTCAGGATCTGAGCTCAGGGGCCTCACCTACAGGTGCCCTGGTTTTAGTCAACATCCTTTGCTGTGACAAAACACACGAGATAAGCAACTTGGAAAGAGGACGGGTTTAGTTTGGCTCATGTTTTGAAAGTTTCGGGGCACATCCAGAGACTGAGTGCTTCCAGGCCTGTGAGGAGCCAGCACATCAAGCTGAAGGGAGGTGCAGCTCATGGACAGGATGAGAAGAGGAGGAGAGGCCCTGGGTCTCACTATCCCTGTCAGATAATGTCCCCAGTGACAAGGACCTCCCAAGGGCCCATCACCAGGACCTCCTGTTAGGCCTCACAGCATAAAGGCTCCACAGGCTCCAAATAGTGCCACTCTGGGGACCACAACTTTAACATATGTGCCCCTGGAGACCTTCCAGATCCAAAGTCCAAGCTCTGGAGATCCTTCTGACCTTCCTAGGCCACTCCATGGGTAAAGGGTGCTTGCTGCCTGTCCTTCACCAGCTTTGCTCTTTCCGGCAGTGCAGAGCAGCTCTGCACCGAGCCTGCACTGGGCAGTGTAGGGGAGACACTCTGAGGATGGCCTTGTCCCTCAGCCCTGCCACAGCCTGGACCTGGAAAGTGTCCTCCTTGCTCCTAGAAACCTTGAACACTACTGTTTCAACTAGCTAGGACCCTCCACCTCTGATGCTTCCAGAGTCAGGCCCCAGGCCCACTGCCCACTACCCTGTGTCCTGTCATCCTTGAAAATTTCAGGCTCTAAGATAAGAGTTTATGTGGTGCCATGGCTTGTGTCTAGATGTTCCTCCAAAGCCTCATGCAGTCATACAGAGGTGGGGCTTTTTCAGAGGTGGCTGATCTAGAGTGTGTGATTAAAATTCAACATCCCTTCATGATAAAAATTTAAAAATGGGTGCAGAAGGGCTATAAGTGACAAATACATAGTTTATGTATTTATAGGAACAAGAGAAGAATTTCTCCTTTTACCACCATTATTCAACATAATTTTGGAAATCTTTGCCAGAGCAATAAGATTAGAAAAAAATAGATGGCATCCAAATAGAAAGGCAGCAGTCAGATTATCCTTATTTACAGATGACATGGCTGTGTACACAGAAAAACTTAAAGACTCTACCAAAAACTGTGAAAACTGATAAACAAAATCAAGAGGTTGTATACAAAAGTGACATACTAAATTTAGTACCTTTTTTATATACTAATAATGACATTTCTGAAAATGAGATCAACAAAACAATCCCACTCACAATAGTTACCAAAAAAATCACTTGGAAATGAATTTAACCAAGGAAGTAAGTGGTTTCTACCATGAAAATTACAAAACATTGATAAAAATAAAATGAAGAGAAAACATACAAGAAAATGGAAAGACATCCTATGTGCATGGATTGGAAGAAAACTATTAAATATCTACATTACCCAAAGCAATGTACAGATTCCATGCAATTGTATTAAAATCCCAATGATATTCTTCTCTGAAGTAGTAAAACATCTCTAAAATAATTTGTATGGAAAAAAAATCCTGAATAGCCAATGTAATCCTGGAGTGGGGGGAAGCTGGAGTCATTACACTACCTGATTTCAAAATACTCTACAAAGCAACAGTAGAGACAGGCATGGTGGCACACACCTGTGACCCTAGCACTTAAGAGGCTGAGGCAGGAGGACTGTCAAGTTCAAGGCCAGCTTGGGCTACATAATGAGATCAAGGCCAGCCTGAATTACAGAGCGAGACCCTGTCTCAAAACAAAACAAAAATAAAAACAAACCAGTTGACAACACAGCATGACTACTGGCATAAAAACAAACACATAGGCCAATGGAACAGAATATATAGCCCAGAAATAAATATACCTGTTTATAGCCAACTGATTTTCAATAAAGATAAGAACCTACATTAAAGAAAGTCTCTTCAATAAGTAATGCTGCAAAAACTAGAACTCCACATACAGAGGAAAGAAACTAGTCCCTATCTCACCATATATATATATATATATATATGAAATGGATCAAAGATTTAAATGTAAGACCCACATTTATGAAACTACCAGAACACAATATAGGAGGCATGCTTCAGGATATTGGACTGGACAAAGATATTTTGTAGTTTTTTGTTTTTCTTTCCAGTACCAGGATCAAACTTAGGACCTTGCACTTGACAGGCAGGCGTGGTGCACTGAGCTATATCGTGGCCCTGGGCAAAGATATTTTGGATATGACACCAAAAGCGTAGGGAACAAAAGGAAATATTGACAAATGGGATTACAACAAACTAAAAAGCTTCTGTACAGCAAAGGAAATACTGTAATCTAGATTAAATAGGCAACCTACAGAATGGGAGAAAATATTTGCAAACCATCAATCTGACAAGGGATTAATTTCCAGAATAGGTAAAGAACTCCAACAACTCAATAGCAAACACACACACACACACAGACACACACACACACACACACACACACTCCAATTAACATTTCTCAAAAGAAGATATTCAAATGGCCAACAAATATATGAAAGTGTTCAACATCACTAATCATCAGAGAAATGCAAAGCAAAACCACAATGAGATATTAACCTTACCCCAGTTAGAATGGCTGTTATCAAGAAGACACATACACAAAAAATACTGGTGGGGATGTGGAGAAAAGGGACTCTCACACAGTGTTGGTGGGGATGCAAATTAGTATAGCCATTATAGAAAACAGATGGAGTTTCTTCAAAGAACTAGAAATAGAGCTGTCGTGTGAGCCAGCAATCCCAGTACCGGGTATACAGCCAAAGGACAAATCAGCTTGTTGAAGATACATCTGTAATTGTATGACTAAAGCAGCATTATTCACAACAGTGGACCAACCTAGGTGTCCACTGATAGATGAATCAGTAAAGAGAATGTGGTACATATACACAATGGAACATTATTCAATTATAAAAAGAAAGGACTTGGATGGAACTGGAGGACAATATGTTAACTGAAATAATCCAGGTGCAGAAAGACAAGTATATGTCCCTTCTTATGTGTGGAAGCTAAAAAGCTGATCTCAGGAAGCAGAGGTAGTAACAGCAGTTAGTGAGGCCTGGGAAGCGTGTAGGGAGGAGAGGTAGGATGGCTAATGGGTCCAGGTGTATAGGTGGACAAGAGGAATGACTTCTAATGTTCCGTATCACAGTAGACAACTATGGTTGACAACTACCTGGATATTTCAAAACAGCTAGCAGAGATGATTTTAAATGTTCTCAGGACAACTGTACATCTGACAGACATGCCATTTACCCAGATATGATCACACAATGAAATATAACAAGTACCCCATAAACATGTATAATTATGCATCAATTACAATTTAAAAATTAAAAGTAATAACTGTAATATATCAGAAAACATTAAATTTTAAAATTCATGCATTACAATGGCACCTTGAAGAAGCCCCTCTGGTTACCACAGGAAGTGCTGTGAAAACAATACACTGCTGTGAAATCTGACAGTATTAGAGGAAGAAGCACGCAGCCTGTACAACCTTGATTTCAAGGTGACCAGGTTTTCTTTGCATGAGCTTCTCAGGAAGTACTGAATCGAAGGAGAGAGCAGGGATGGGTGCTAAACCCTCAGGAAAGGGCTGGGAGGGGCCCTACCGAAGTGGAGTCAGGTGGCAGGACCGAGCCCACTCCTGGGCTTCTGGTCACTCAAAGCAGCAGCATGGCAGACACTTGACCTCAGTGGGAGGCCACTGTCATGAGCTGAGCTGAGTCTGACCAAACCTCGCGCTCTGTGTGCCAGTGTGAACTGGATGAAGGACTCGCTCACCCTCGCCACCCACGGCCCAGGAAGCAGCAGGCTCTAGAATCAGGAGGTGTAGGTGACACAAGCCCCAGGAGACTTGGTACACACCGCAGTGTGTGCTCAGTCATCTGAGGACACCAAGCCAGGTGAGCCTGGAAGAGAAGGCTGGCTGTGGAGAAGGGATACCCTACAGAGTAAGAGAATCAGCAGGCGCAGCAGCCAGTGGACACTGACACAGGTGAGTCATCTAGAGAGACCTGTTAAAGAAGTCAGGGAAATCTGACTGTCAACTGGGGATTAGGTAACAGTAAGGAATTATTTTTAATTTTGTTAGATGCCATAATGGCATGGTAGTTATTATTTTTTAAAGTCCTTATAGCTGGGTACAGTGGCACACCTGAAATCCCAGCACTCTGGGAGGCAGAGACAGGAGGCTCGTATGTCCCAGCCCAGCCTGGATAACCTGGCAGTACCCTGTCTCTCTCAATCAATCAATCAATCACTAATAATCTTAAAAGGACTGGGGAGGTAGCTCAGCGCAAAAACCCTGGGTTCAATCCCCCGTATCTCCCTAGCGAAAAAAAACCCCAAACAAACCCACAACGGTCCTTACTGCTTAGAGATATACACTGTGGTACCAAGGGGTAAGACTGACTCATCTGGAATGTATTTTAACCACTCTAGGATGAGTCCCCCACCTCCCACTGATTAGGTGAGCAAGACTGTAGTTCATCACAAAATTCCCTAGCTCTGTCTGCATAAATAATTTTCCATAATAAAATTTTGTTAGCAGCAGCGAGAGGAGATGGGGAGTAGTCAGCACATGTGAGCAATGGGCCTGGGTGCTCAGTAGTGAGTGCTTACCCAGCATGCACAAGGCCCTGGCTTCTATCCTCAGTGCCTCTACAATCACCACCACAAAAAAGAAAAAGATACCAGCTGTACAATCATCATGGCAAACACTCAGTGTGTGCTATATGTTGAGGCCAGTCTGTAGGTGGGTGCTTTCACTGTCTCAGTTTTGTACATGAGGAAACTGAGGCAGAGTGACTTGGGACTTTCCAGGGTCACAGGGGAAAAGGGACCAAGGAGGTGAGAACGGTGCCCAGGAAGAGGGCAGGCAGCGGTGGCTCTGATAGGCAGCTCTGGTGGGTGTGGATGGAGGTGCCTGCGGTGCTCTTGGAGGGTGTCCCCCCGCAAGCCCCAGTATGAAAGCAGCCTGCAGCCACCCCTCCACACGCACCATTCTTCCCTTTGCCCCGTGAACGCTGCTCGGTGCTTCTGAAGCATTCTTACATAGCACACGTGTGCACACACATACACAGTGTGCAAAACCTGGGGATGTGATGCAAGGTCTGCAGTCACACAGCTGGCCCTGCCGTGCTGCACTGCAGACCCGGGGTATGATCGCTGGGAGGGTAGGTGGGGGACTTGAGATGCCTTTCTCCTGTTCTTGCAGCTTTCTGAAAAGCTACAAACATTTCAAACTAAAAGGTTTATTAAAAAACTCTGGGCTCCGAGGGCCGGGGATTTAGCTCAGTGGTTTCACCGCCTGCTGCACAAGTGCAAGGACCCGAGTTCGATCCCCAGTACCAAAAGGAAAAAAAAAACAAACCTCTGGGCTCTGGAAGTGAAAGAGCAGACTGATCACAGTGACTTCACTCCTCTTCTCATGAGGAACTGAGACTCAGTCAGCTCAGCTCCCACTTCTCCGTCAGGCTCTGTCCGTCCGGAGTACGTTCATTTCCATACCTGCTCCTCTCCCTACCCCGACTCCCATGCTGCCTCTCTTCCCGCCTGTCTCTCCTGGCGCTGACCCCATTCCTTGACCTCCAGGACCCTGTCTCAGGCCTCCTCCCTCACCTCCTGCCAGGCAGTGGAAGTAACCAGAAACTGGTATTTCCAATCGATTGCAGAGGCCTGTTCTGGGCCCTGCCACGCTGGGCACCAGGGCTTCCTCTAGGGGTCCTCCCTGGGCCAACACTGCCTGTCATTCCAACAAACGTTCAAAATCTTTAAAAAGCAGCAGATCTGATGTCACTGTGCTTGGAAAAAAGTCCTATGGTGTCTTTTTATCTTGCTCATTGGGACTTGCTGCGATCACCTGCCCATGTGCAGGCACCGTATGTCACTTCTCACAAAAATCAATTTTACAGAATTACCCAATAGAAGGTAAGCACTAAATAAATAGTGTTGCTTGCAACTGCTCACTTCAAAGAAAGCACTACCAGGAGCAGTGAAAGGAACCAACATGCACATGTTCATACTTCTTTTCTGTTTTAATTTTTCACTTTCAGCTTCATTTTATTTCCACTCAGAGGAACGAGAGGAGAAATGTATAATACAAGACATTCCAAGTGAAACACTGATCACAGGTAGGTAAGATGCGCCTTGTCAAAGGACAAATGCAGATGCTGTTTTACGGTATTATGCTAATCTCCTGAAGTCAGTATTATTCGGCAGTGAACATGATGCTGCGTGGTCATTTCTTGGCAGTTTATCAAGTTAGGCCAAGCCAACGTGAAAACAGCCTTACGAGTGAGTGACTTGTATATTTATAAAGCAGGAGGGTCGGCTTTAGCTTAAGCGGCTACTTCCTCACGCCGGACGGACTTTCCATATACAGCAGGAAGCCTGGCGTGGGCCACAGAATCCAAGCTTGATTTGTGGTTCTGGGCATTAGTTTTCTTTAAGCAAAAGAATATCTGATGCCATCGAGCACATGAATTGTGGCTTAACACTGAAAACACATGTGAGATGTTCAGACCAGAGCGTCCACATAGCCAGGGGAATGTCTGCACATTTCCTGTGCTACAAGCACACCCCACAGATGAGCTCCGTGCACCTCTCAGAAAGAAACAAACTCCCAGCAATTTCAGAATGGTGTGAAAAATCTAGTAAGATACCTAACATTCAAGCCACAATCAACATCAGGTTATCTATCTTCTTTAATGAAAGAAGACCAGCAGCAGCTCTATCTGGAGGTATTCTTCCTAAGATCTGATCGCACGTTTTTATATCCCGTTCAACCTAACAGTGAGTAGTGCTGAATTCTCCTTTCAGCTCATCTTGGCCATTGCGTTTCAGTATTCTGTTTCAGAGAGTAATGGCCCAGCCTGCAATAAATGCAGGAAGCAGGGGGCAGAGAGAGCACAGCACGGGGTGGCATTTCAGGTGAGGAGAACGGCCAGGACAGACGTGGTGGGCACTGAGTGGCAGCCTGCCCTGCTCTCCCAGTCACTGCGGGAGAAGCCTGAGACCTTGAAGTCTCAGTGAGATTTCTGGAACCAGACCCCAGCCCTGCCACCCAGCTCCAGGTGTGAGCCCCATTACCAATCTGCTTCTTCAGGTTATGTGGAGAGTTAATCTTTGTAAGGCTTCTAGAACCTGGCCCACACACAGAGCAGGGAATGTTGGCTGCCTTGGTGAACCGTCAGTGCGCTGACCATTTTCCTAGGAACTCGTGGACTTCCCAGCCTGCATCTCAAGGGGCCACAGCTGGAGTCCCTGATCCCTTGGAGGCACTCAAGGCGGGAAGCCCAGTGCTGCTAGACAGTGCCTGCTACAGTCTGGGCCCTCTGGGGCTGGTGCCTCATCCTGAGTCGAGTCTCTCAGTCCTTGCCTTCTTGGACACCACTGTACGCCTGCTCCTCCCTGGCCTGTGCTGCAGGTCTTTCTCAGTTCCCGCTCTGCAGGGTCCCTGGCACCCTCCCCCACCCAGGTGTGTAGGCTTAGAAGGCAGAAACTATACAATAAACTTGGAACCATAGCAGGTCACAAATTTTAGTTTTTCTTTAAGAGCACAGCGAGGCCTTGAAATCCCAAGAACTACAGACTCCAGACTAGGGAACCATCTTGTGGGTCTGAAAGGAGCCACTACGCTGCCCGGCCTCTGCCCCTGGCCCGGGGCAACTCTGCACCTTTCCTGCTGGGCAGTGATGCCTGCCATCTATAGGGCAAGACCAATGGTCCCACTGCTCCATCCCCTCGCCGTTGCTCCACCATCTGGGTCACCTGGAAGACCCCATACAGTGAGGGCAGTGGCTCATCCCAGGTTCCTCTCCAGGCTCATGTGCCCATGCCACCCATGTCCACTCTGGGGGAGAGCACAGCAACAAAATGTCTGGCTGGGTTCAGGCTGAGCTGGAGACAGGGGCTCAGAGAGGAGGACAGGACAGGCAGGCAGCAGCGAAAGGGTGCAATCCAAGAGAGAAGAGGAATTACCTGCTGACTGGGACCCAGGCAGGTGCACCCGGACGGCAGCTGTGTGCAGGCCCAGAGAACAGGCTGTGGAGACAGGCAGAAGAGTGGGGGGCCCTGGAAAAAATGGGGGACACAGAAGAACAGAGGGTTATTATTCAATATGGAAAACAGGACACATCATAGGAAAGCGTATAAAGGGAGAAAGAAAACTGAACTTCTCAACCCAACTACACAAAAAATTGCAGTGAGTCACAGTACAAATATGATACAAATGATAGTGAGAACAATTTTCCTCAGGTCAGAGAGGCCCGAGAGGTATGCAGCAAGGGTCACGGGGACTGGGGCAAGGGGACATCCTGGGGCTTGTGGGGACTGCGCAGGAGGGCATCCCAGGTCTCTTTGCTGGTTCCTTGCCACTCACTAATGTGGTCACTGCTCTGTGCTGACACGGACACCAGTTTAAAGGCACTGAAGACAGACTAGGTGTGCCCACTCTGCCCACCTCTATACTCTCATAGCCCTCTGCAGCCCAGTGTGTGGGCAAATGAGTGCTTTTGAACAGAACTGCATTGACGGGTTACAGAATTAACACCATAGTTTTTTTGTCTTTGTGGGTTTTTTTGGTACCGGGGATCGAACTTGGGTCCTTGCGCTTGCGAGGCAGGTGGCAGAACCATTGAGCTAAATCCCCAGCCCTAACACCATAGTAGTTGAGACTTCTGACCATGCTGAGATGAATCCACTAGCTGGTGTTTAATTTTAAGCGTGCCTGGATGTGCAGTCCCTAACTTCTTGGCTTGGCTGAGGATTGTGACACATGCTCCCTCCTAAGTTCATGTCTGTAACCTATGATCCTGCATCCTACTGGAAAGGAGTGGCAGCCATCTGGCACATCCTGCTCTCTGTGAAGCTGTGCGCCCGTCCTTCTAGGTGCTCACAGCAGTCTGGCTTCACCCAAAACTGGGCTCCAGCTCCCCTGAGCACTGGAATCACCTCCAATCCACGTCCATCTGTTCTCCCTTCTAAAGACCGCCTTCCTCCCTCTCCTCTGCCCACTGCTCTTCTCTAACACCTGCCCACCAAGCCATCGTTCTAGACGCTAGGAATTTAAAACTTCATGATGCTTCTACTCTTGTGGAGAGAAAAAGACTAAACAGAAGTATAGAGCATCATGCCTGCAAGTGTGGTGAGAAGGCCACAGCGAGAAGCAGACAGGGAGCTGCCAGCCTGGACGCAGGAGGACTCCCCCTGGTGCTGTACGGTGGCATGGTCGGTGACTCAGCTGTTTCTTCACTCTGCCCTGGGGCTATCACCTGCCGTGCAGCAGCAGGCACCTGGTGTGTCCCAGAGTTGCCACAGGTGCTCCCCAAGGCCAGTTCCCACCCTGCTGGACCCTCTCTGACTTGTTCACTTGGCCTCTGAGTACCTCTCTGTCAAAGCCTCCTAGAGAAATGGGTGTGACCAACCCCTCCCTAAAAGGAAGGGACAGCGCCTGAGACGCAGAGGCTTGAGCTCCAGTTCCCACCAGAAGCCAAGGAGGCAGCACAGGGCTTGAGCACCAGCCAAGGGCCCCACTGGGACAGGAAGTCCTTGCTCTGGGAACCTGCCTAAGACTCCTAAGCCAGGCACCTTCTGGACATTTGATTGTGTCTGTCTTAGCTCCACTTATGAATGTTTCTTAACAGTGAACTACAGGGCGCTGAGTGACAAATGAGATAAACAGCTGGGCTGGTGAGACTGGGGAAAATTAGACAAACAAGGAGATAAACCTTGCCGTGGCTACTGTAAACCTTACCACTCCTGCCTGGTGAGTTTCAAACCACTTACTCACTGGTCCTGGGAGGTTTTTTTTTTTTCAAGACAAGTCCCTTATCAAAGGCAGGGACTGGTAGAAAGGGAGAAGTGCCATGGGGCATACATCAGAATGTGGAGACTGTTTAGTAAGAGAACACTTAGAACTCAAAACCAATCAGCAAACAGTTCTGCTCCTAGATGGTCCCTTTGAAAGTGTCCCCTGATATGACTCACGCAGTGTGTCAAAGGACTGATGGCTTTGGTCTCTGTGTGTCTGAGCATAAGTCTTAGTAAGAGGAGGAGACAGGAGGGGAGAAAGCTCCAAGTTAATTGGGTGTTATCTATCATTCAACATCCAGTGGGGCAACAGACCCCACCTCAGTGTCCTCGCTGAAGCAGAGCCTGAGCCAATGATTCAAGTTCCAGAAGGGAAGGGAGAAGCTGCAGGGTAGCTTCAGGTTAACTGCAGAGCCATCCTGAGCTTAGGAGCATAGGGTAACTACAGTCTTATGCTCCAGCAACCCAAAAGATGTGAAAGCAAAGTCTCAGATAATTTGATGCCAGTGGTCATAGCAGCATTCATTATTCACAATAGCCAAACTGTGGAAATAATCTGTGTCCATCAACAAATGAATGGATAAACAAAATTCAACTGCTTCTACTTAGTGATCAGAAGTGACAAATAAATAAACATCAATGTGAAGGTAAAGATATTCACCACCTCTACACTGGAAATGACAACCTAGTAATGGGAGGGGTGTCCCAGGTTCAAGAATAGAAGAGCAAGCAAAAATCGAACAGCTGTGTCCCAGGAGAGACGGCCTCTACCACCAGGGAATGGATGAGAAGTTACTGGAGTCCACTGGTCACTGGGGAAACACAAGCCAAGCCCACTGAGATGCTGCTGCACAGCCATCCAATGCCACAGCGAGGAGGACAGGAAACGTGTGCAAGCTCTGACACACCGCTGGGCCTGGACAGGTACTCCCGTTCTGAGATCTACCAAAGTTCAAAATGGGCACACCATGGGGCAAGAGAACACAGGAAATGTGTGCAAGTGTTACCCGAAAGAGTCTCCACAACGGCACTATTTACAGTACCCCAAGCTAGGCACAGCTCCAGTGCCCACCCATGGACAAATGTAAAGAAGTCATCTATTCCAAGAATGAACTATTAAACAGCAATGACAATAAAAGATCCAAGCCTACATGCAACAATCCGGATGAAGCTCACAGGCACAATGCTGGTTTTAAAAAGCCAGACATAAAGTACATATATTTATGTAAAATACCAAATCAGACAAAAATAATCTGCCTTTGAGTTGGTGGAGGGTTGCCTTTGCCGGGGGGTTAGTGAGTGACCAGTGGTGTGAGCCTCCGGGATGTTCCAGCCAGAGTGTTTTGGTTTGCAATAATGTGCAGGCTCTATGTTGATGATCTTCCCTCAACAACTTACTCCTCGATTCAGTCTCGGGAGGGCTCTAGGGAAACATACCCTTCCAGGACCCAGAACACCCAAGAAAAATCAGTAGATTCACAACACTCTGGAAAGCAACTGTTTTCCATGTGCAGGTGCCTGTCATCAGTTAATCAGAACACCTGGGTACAGCCAGGTGCCAGCAGCACAAATGGTCCCAGGAGACCCCAACATAAAGCAAAAACCTCAGGAGCCACCAGACAAGACTCTTTCCTCCCAAGTGACAGAGGGAATTTACAGGCCCTTTTCCCTTGGCCTGGAAGTTCAGTTGAAATGCCACTGGTCATCCTGGAAGTCCTTAAGCTACTTCCAGGACAGGCAAGGCAGTGAGATCAATGAGAAAGTGGGCCCAGGTCCTGAAGGCTGGAGGGTATATTCATAAATTTGGATATCATCCTAAGAGCAATGCGGAGCCACTGAAAGTTCTTAAGTAAATACAGTACCTCCCCTGTCACTTGCCTTGATGAGCCTTACATAGAAAGGGTTAGTTATTGTGGTTAGCACATTCTGGGTCATCACTTGGGCCCAGCAATGTTCTCAGGGCTGTATTTTAACTTGTATCTCCATAACTACCCTACAAAATAGAGCAGAGCTACTGTCCCCTGCTTACTTCTGAGAGATCTCACACACTTGCCCAAGACCGCACGGCCTCATGTGTTGGAGTCAGGAGTCAACCAGACCATGGGCTCTGAGCCACCATGTGGAAGGAAGGTCCATTATGACCCATTCATCTGTCAGTCAGTGGGGCACCACTCCTGTAGGCCATACTCTACTCAGCAGTGGGCAAGGGTACTGGATCTTTCTCACCAACAGACCTCTATTTAGGTTATAGATCAATGTTTAGGATGTGGAAAAATGATCACAAAAATTAGGGGAAAAAACCAAGATAAATTACAATCTTATTTTTTTAGTAAAATATATAATATGTACTTGCAGTAAAAAGGCTAGAATAATGTCAAATGTCCAGAATTTGTAGGGGAGATTTTGTTTTCTACAATTCTCACAATGAATGCTCTTATTTCTCTAATACCAACCCAAGTGATCCACAGTTCCAGCCTCAAAGACTCTTTTTTTCTTGTTTTGTTTTGTTTTTGGTACCGGGGATCAAACGCGGGACCCTGTGCTTGCGAGGCAGGTGGCAGAATCACTGAGCTAAATCCTCGGCCCTGAAAGACTCTTAATCTGGAGCAAATGGGACACCAACTCACAGGGAAGGGCAGACTGCCGTGTCTGTTCAGGAGGCCAGAAGAGACGCATTCCAGTGGCCTGGGAGAAGGGGACACTCACCTCCCACAGTACCGAACATGGCCTGGCATGGGCAGCCTCCCTGAGTCCACCACACTGAGAACCCAGGAAGAGGAGATGTGGCCAGCTAGCTTGTGGGACTGGTTCAGCACACACGTCACAATGCCAGGCCTGTAGCATGAGTGTGGTGCCATTTGTGGTAGCCATGTTCTTAATTTGGGATTCAGCCCTGCTGAAGTGTAAAGTATCCATGCTCTGCCACTTACCCAGATTTTAGGTAAGTAATTTAGCCTCTCCAGGCCTCAGGCTCCTCATCCATTAAACTGTATTCTAGCTACTTTACAGGATGTAGCATTAAGTGGGATAATGGATAGGAAAATACTTAATACATTCAAAGCTCTGCAGTAGTGTGCAGATTTATCAAGTGCTTACCACAGAGCTTACAATGTTCTAAGCTCTGCATTAAGTGGTATACAAATATTAATTTGTTTGCATTTCATAACCTAAGAGACATATACCATTACCATTTTGGCTTTCCCAATGGGGAAACTGAGGCTCAGGGCAGTCCAGTGTCTCACTCATGATGGCACACCTAGTAAGCTGCAGCTCTTTCCTGTCACACGCAGGGACCATGCAGTGAGAAGTGTGACAAGGCGCCTTGCCCTGTGGGTGTGGGGTTCTGTGGGATGTTTGTTACCAGGTTCTTTGACTCATACCATCTTTTTTTGTTTTGGTACCGGCGATCGAACTCCGGTCCTTGCGGTTGCGCAGCAGCGGCAAAACCACTGAGCTAAATGCCCGGCCCCTACTCATACCATCTTGACCTCGCTCCTACCTTGCTCTGCAGTAAGCAATGCTTCTCTTCTGCCATCTGCTGGCAGCTCAGAACATGACAGGGAGGGCCAGGGTGTGGCGGCATGTACTTAAGGCTAGAGGATCAGGCAAAACAAGCAGAAGTGACCCTCTTCTGTTCTGACAACTCAAGGCAGAACCATGAACATTTTGAAATGGCCCAATTGGCACTCAATCGAAATCCTTTATTGAACATGTACTGTGGGACTCATTTCCATTTATTCCACAAATATTTATTGAGCCTCCACCGTGGAGGCAAATGCTGCCTTAGGTCAGGCCTCAAAGATTCAGAGGGATGAAATGCCCCTTGCTCTGCAGTACCTCAGAGTGTGGTCAAGAGGCCTGGTTTGAACCTGGTGTGCTGACAAGAATGCTCTGCATGGACAAGCCTACAGTTAGCAAGAGTGGATCCTAGAAAAATAAGGGGGTGGCCACTAACAGAACGGAGTCACCCCAACGAGAGGGAGACAGAAAGAATTGCAGGAGGGCCCCGACACTTGGTAGTGGAAAATGGAGACCCTTCGTTTCCATGAGGCAAGACAACCATCTTGGGTAGGGCTGTGCTGCAAGAGACCTGGGAGGAAAGACACGGCATAAGCTGTTCTAGAGAATGAGGAACAGGGCAGATGTCCAGTGGTTGATGCAAGCAACGTGTCCACTTGCTGTGAGCTTTCTCCAGGAGACTGCCACTGCTTCTGCCAAGGTGTCTGGTCCCCTTCAGGACTCTGCCACTGGAGCAGCTGAATGTCCCATGTCCCGTGTGCACCTGAAAGAAGTGTGTGTCCTGCTGCTGTTGGGACAATGTCCTCCAAATGTCAGGCAGGTCCCGTTGACAATGATCTCTGATCCTTCCACATTCTTTTTGGTACTGGGGATCGAACTCAGGACCTTGCACTTATGAGGTAGGCACGGCATCACTGAGCTAAATCCCCAGCCAGCTTCCATATTCTTGCTGATCTTGTCTAGTACTGAGAGAGGATGCTGAAGCACCAACTATGTGGATATGTCTGTGTCTCCTTCAGGTTCTCTCTTTTACCTATGTGTTCTGAAGCTCTGTTATTTGATGCATTTAGCACAGTTATGTCTACTTTATCATTATGTAACAGCTCTCGTTGTCCCTGGAGATTTTCTTTGCTCTGAAGTCTGCTTTATCTGGTATTTACATGGTCACGCAAGCTTTTTGAAAATTCATGTCAGAATGGCATATCTCTTTTCATCATCTTATTTATTTATTTATTTATTTGTACCAGGGATCGAACTCAGGACTTCATCATTTTATTTTTAATGTGCCTATAGCATTATACTCAGGGTAATTTTCTTGTGGACTACCTAACTGGGTCATTTAAAAATCACTTGGAGGGCCGGGGATTTAGCTCAGTGGTGCCACCGCCTGCCGCACAAGCACAAGGTCGAGTTTGATCCCCAGTACCAAAAAAACAAAAACAAAACAAAAATCATTTGGACAATCTTTAATCCGTTTAGATCATTACATATAATAGTGAGTTCAAGATTTAAGTCTGTCATTTTATTATTTATTTTCTTTTGTCCTCTATTCTTTTCTTTTTTAAATTTTATTTTATTGGTGCATTTTAGGTATACAATATAATGACATTCATCATTGGAAATTTTCACCTTTACATAATCTCTCTTGGTTCTTATTTTTCCCCCTTTCCCTGCCCTCCCTTCAACCCCTCCATCCCTCCTTATTTACAAAGACTTTGTTTCCATTTTTTCATATTAATTCCATTCCCTTCTTTCTTTTCCCCTTTCTCTTTTTTTGTTACAGTTTTCATTTCTTCCCTCCTTGTGGGTCACTTGAACATTTTATAATATTCTGTTCTGCTTTATCTGTAATGTTTTTTAACTACATCTCGTTCTGTAGTTTTGTTAGAAGTTGCCCAAGGGATTACCACACACATACTCATCAGTCTACAAGCATCGATAGTTTGCCATTTTAAGAGAACCACAGAGGGCCAGAGATGTAGCTCAGTGGCGCCGTGCGTTCCTGGCAAGCATAAGGTCCTGAGTTCGAACTGTGTAGCAAAAAAAAAAAAAAGAAAAGAAAAAGAAAGAGAAGCATAGAAACCTTAACCCCCAATCTTCATAGTCCTCTTAAATATTATCTTTACACTGAAAAGCACATCAGAAAATGTAGCAAGTTTGGTCTGCGTATCAGTCAGTGCTTACTAGAGAAACAGGTTTAATGCAAGGTATACAAATATATAAGAATTTACAAAGACCGGCTTACAATGGCCATCTAGAGTCAGGTGTGGAAGAGAGCCAAAGGTCTTTCTGTGTCCTGGAGATTGGAAGGATACAGCCGAAGGCCTGGAGCTCACTGTAGTGTCCTGTGCATGTCTGTATCAGGAGGCCAAAGGGTCAGCACTGGAAGCCGGATGACATCCAAGGTGAAGGCAAAGACTGGAGCCCCTCTGAAAAAATGGAAGCCAGCCTTCCCTGTTCCCCTTTCATTCCATTCTGGCAACAGTCCTCCCCCAGATGGGTCTTGCACGCCCAGAACTAGGCTGAAGCAATCTAGTCGGGTGTTTCTTACTCAAATTGACACAATCACGTAACTGTCAGTTTGTAACTGCCATTTTTAAACTGTCAGTTTTTTAAATGGAGAGTAGTCCATTATACATTTCCCCAGATATCTACCATACTGATGTCCCAAGTTTCCTTTCCATTCGAAGGCCTTCCATTTCCCTTCTTTTACAGCAGGTGTTCTCATGACAGATTCTTATTTTTCCTTGATCTAAGAATATTTCACCTGCATTCTCAAGGATATCTTTTGTTAGACATACAATTGCTTGGCAATTGCTTCATCTCAGCAGCTGAAGGGTGTTGTGTCTGCTGGCACCCTTGTCTTTGGGGATAAATCTGGTATCGTTCATTATTGTTGCTGCCCTAGCTATCATGCATTATTTCTCTCCTGCTATTTTCTAGATTTTTTTCTTACTCGTTAGTTTTGAAAATTTGATGGTGATGTATGAGAGAATGGATTGGGGAAGGGATCCTGTTTTGGGTAAGCTGTGCTTCATAAATGTTTAGATTTATATCTTTTACCAAATTTGGGGAGTTTGCAGCCATTATTTCCTTCTATGTATTATTTTAGCCCTTCATTCTTTCTTCTGTCCTCTGGACTCCATAAATTCTAGACCTTTGATTATTGTTCCATATGTCCAGGAGACTCTTTAAAATCTTTTTTCTCCTCTACGGTCCATATTGGATTATTTCCATTATCTACTGTTTTTGCGGGGAGGGCTGAGACAGGGTCTTGCTATGTAGCTCAGGCTGGCCTCAAACTCACAGCAATCCTCCTGCCTCAGCCTCTTGAGTGCAGGGACTACAGGCCTGTGCCACTGTGCCCAGCTATTTCCATTTATCTGTTTAAAGTTCAGTGACTCTTTTCTCTGTCTTCTGTTTTTTTTTTGTTTTGTTTTGTTTCATTTTGTTTTTACTGGGTCCACTCATTGAGATTATTTTTCAAATTTTTTTAAATATTCTATTTTTCCTGTCCTAATGTGTCTGTCTTGTTCTTTTTTATATCTTCATTTCTGCTGAGTTTATTCTCCCATTTATTTCAAGAGTGTTTATACTACTGATTGAAGCATTTTTATGACAGCTGCTTTAAATTGTTGGATAATTCCAACAACAATGTCATCTTGCTGCTGGTGTATTGGCTGTCATTCTCATTCAAGTTGAGATTTTGTTGGTTCTTGGAATCATGAGCAATTACATATTGTATCCTGGACATTCTGAGTATCATTATGACTCTGGTTCCTCTTTAATTATATTCTACTTTAGTGTGAAGTCACTCCATGTAGATTCAAAACACACATTCTAGTGTTAATTTAGTTTTCTGAGACTTTGCACTACTATTCTGGTCTGCCCCTCTAGTGTGCTGCCTAGAGCACAATTTGAAATATGACCAGTAATCTACCTACGACTGGATTCTTGAGTTTCTGTTGTATTGATTCTAGCCAGTTTGACTCATGTGCTGCTTAAAGATGCACCCAGGACCTTCATACACAGGTTTGCTCTTTTTCTGAAGCTCTCTCCTCTCTGTAGTCTTCCCCAGTTCTCTGGTGCAGAGGAAAGGTACTGACTACATTGACTCTCACGTAATGCAAGGTGGGGACGTGGCTAGGTTCCACTCCAGTCTCTATCACTGAAGCTTCCAGTAGGGAAGAGTCCACTTTCTTTCAGGGTGTTTGTCCTTCACAGCATCCTATTCCTTTGATTTGATACATCAGGGTCTCTCTCTTTCCTCTCTTGTGTGCAGCTGCAGGTTACACATTGTTCTGGTGTCCAGACCAGTTGTGTATTGAATCCTACAGTCTTTAGCCAGCCGACCTTCTTTTCTCCACCTTTCAGAGTCTTTAGATAGTTGCCTCACATATTTTTTTTCCCTTAAATTCTTTATTAGTACATTTTAGGTATACAATGCGTTTACATTTATCACTGGGTGCTTGTACCTGTACACGATGTAGCTTGGTTCTTATTTTTTTCCCCATTTCCTGTCCGCCCTTCACCCCCTCCACCCTTTCCTATTTACAAAGACTTAGTTTCCATTTGTTTTCTTTTCTCATAATTTTTCCTTTCCCTTCTTTCCTTTCCCCTTCCCCTCCCACCACCTCTACCCCTTTGGACCTTTTCTTCCTATTTAAAATTATCAATTATTGATTTTAATCATTTTCATCCTTATTTACACTTTCAGTTTCTCACACTAGAGAAACTATTCGGTATTTACACATGTGTGTCCTATTTATTTCACTTAAGAGTATGGCCTCAATATGCATCCACTTAGCTATAAATGTCTCTAGTTTCTCATTCTTTATGCCTTAGTACTCCATTTTATAAAAACCCCACATCTTCTTTATCCAGTTTCCAGTTGATGGGCACTTGGGCTGTTTCCAAGCTTTAGCTCTTACAAACTGTGCCACTCTAAACATGGGTGCACATATATTGCTGTGGTATGATTCTTTTAATTCTTTTGGGAAGATACCCAGCAGTGGAATAGCTGGGTCAAATGGGACCTTGAGTCCTAGTTCTTTGAGGTATCTCCGTATGGATTTCCACAGTGGTTGAGCCAGCCTGCACTCCCACCAACAATGGAGAAGGGTTCCTTTCTCCCCACACCCCCGCCAGCATTTGTTATTGTTTGATTTCTTGGTAGCAGCCATTCTTTCTGGGGTGAGGTGAAATCTCAGTGTTGTTTTCATCTGCATCACTCGAGTGACCAGTGATGTTGAACATTTTTTCATATATTTATTTGCTGTTTTTACTTCGTCTGAGAAATGTCTGTTCATTTCAGATGCCCATTTTTGAATTGGGTTTTTGAATTTGGGGGGTCTGATTTTTTTCAGTTCTTTATATATTCTAGATAGTCCTTTGTCTAAGGTACAGCTGCTAAAATATTTTTCCCACATTGTAGGTTGTCTCTTAGCTCTGTTGCTGGTTTCTCTGGCAGTTCAGAAGCTTTTTAATAAGATGAGATCCCAGTTGTTGATTCTTTCTGCTGGTTCCCGTGCTACTGAGGTTTTGTTCACAAAGTCTTTTCCTATGCCAATGTCTTCAAGAGTTCTACCTAACTTATCTTCCAGCAAGTTTAGTGTTTCTGTCTTAATATTTAGATCTTTAATCCACTTCGATCTTAGTTTAGTGCATGGTGATAGGTATGGGTCTAGTTTTAATCTTTGGCAGGTTGAAATCCAGTTTTTTCCAGTACCATTTATTAAATAGGCTATCTTTCCTCCAATGAGGGCGGTTGGCTCCTTTGTCAAAGATGAGGTGGCTGAGTATGTCTGGAGTTGTTTCTGCATCTTCTAATCTATTCCACTGATCCTCAGGTCTGTTTGCCAGTACCATGCTGTTGTTATCACAGTAACTTTGTAGTATAGTTTCAAGTTGGGGATTGTGATACCCCCTGCCATGTCTCTGTTGCCTAGAATTGCTTTTGCTATTCTAGGTCTCTTCTTGTTCCAAATGAATTTTTGGATTGTTTTCTCTAGTTCTGTGAAGTATATTGTTGGAATTTCAATTGGCATTGCATTAAATCTATATAGCAGTTTTGGAAGTATGCCCATTTTCACTATATTTGTTCTTCCTATCCAGGAGCAAGGGATGTCTTTCCATTTTCTTATATCCTCTTTGATCACTTTTTTTCAGAGAGCTGTAGTTTACAGTGTAGAGGTCTTTTGCTTCCTTTGTTAGATTGATTCCTAGATATTTCCATTTTTTGGATGCTATTGTAAAAGGAATTGTTTCCCTAATTTCTCTCTCAGTGAGTCTGTTTTTTGTGTATAAGAAGGCTATTGTTTTCTGAGTGTTGACCCTATATCCAGCTATTCTACTGAATCTGTCAATTAAGTCTAGAAGTCATTTGGCCCAGTTTTTTGGGTCTTCTATGTAAAGTATCATGTCATCAGCAAATAATGACAGTTTAACTTCGTCCTTGCCTATCTTTATTCCTTTTATTTCTTTCTCTTTTCTAATTGCTGTGCCTAATGTTTCCAGAACTATATTGAACAGGAGTGGTTGCCTCACATATTTTGTGCATGTTTTCAGTTGTAACCAGCAGGAGGGATAGGATGGGATGGGTCCATTCCATCTTGTCAAGAACCACTGATATGTTTAAAGAGCTTCTTGGAGTGCTCTGAAAAGCACTGAAATGCGCTATATGTACAGTCCACAAACTCATGGTTGGGGCAGGTAAGCCAGTACTATTTAAAAATAGCACGGACTGAAGCCACTGCAAAACACAGGCAGGGACTGAGATGCTCACACCCTTCCCATCCCAGGAAATGCGCCTTTTAAGTGTCTCCAAAGAGGACTTCATCTCCCAGGGGCTGCCCTTCATGGTCAGCATCCATGGTCAAGTTTCCTTCTCACTCCCTGTCAGGGACTCATCCCCCTCTTGACTTCCAGGGGCCCTGCAGGAAGGCCTCAGGGAGTATTGAAGTTAAAGCTGCAGGCTTTGCAGTCAGACTGGCTCAGTTCTAATTCTGCTTCTACACTATAGCATCTGTGTGAGTTTGGGCTGTGACTTCACCTCTTTGAGACCTGCTTTCTGAACTGTAAAATAGGGACAGTAATGGTGAATCCAACACGTTTTTACAACCTCCACCACTATCACTTTGACTACAATGACTCATTGCTTTCCCCCCGTAATTTTTCTTCCTTTCTCTGCACAACTGGGAATAAAGATGTTTTTTTAAAAGCACATTGTTTCACTCCTCTACCATTTCCCCAAGTCCTTACAACGAACTTGTGGTCCTTCATGACCTGGCCCTGCCACCTCTCAACCTTGTTCTGTACCTCTCTCTGTTAACCTCACTCTGTTCCTTGAATGCTCTGAAGTTCTGCTGCCCCCAGGACCTTTGCATATACTCCTGATTATAATAATCTCTACCCAGATGGAGGCAGCATAATGTGTTGCTGAGAGAGAAGGCATTTGATTTATAAAAAGCAGTGTATGTAGATATATTTATAATCTTTATACTTATGTGTTATAAATATATTTAAAATTGTGTGTATATATGTATCACATTTAATACTAATTATGTACCAAACTATTCCAAGTGAGGAATTTACACATTTACAAATTTTCATGACATCAACCCTCTGAAGGTAGATACTATTTTTATATGATGAAACTAAAGCACAGAAAAATTTACTTATCCACAGTCATGCAGTTAGCAAGTACTAGTCAGGATTCAAATCCAGGCAGCACACTGCCTTTCCCCTCACCCTTGTGAATATATATATATATTTTTTTTTCACTCTTCCATTCCTCAGGTCTTTCCACAGATGTCAAGGAGCCTTGTCTGACTTCCCCTCCCAGGGACTTGCTTTTTCTTAGTGCACTTAACACCTTCCACATCATATATTTATTTGCTTTTTCTCTGTATCTGTCTGTTTGAAAGCTCCATGGAACCAAGGACACTGCCTATTTTGTCATCTCTGTCCTCAGTCCAGAACAATGTTCTGTGGAAGGTGGACATTACATACTTGTCAAATTTCTGGGTGAATAAATGGATGGTTTCCTCCGAACACATTTTAAAGAATTAAATGAGATGATCCATGTTAGATACTTAGTATAGTACCTGGAATATAAAGACTCAGCGCATGTTGCTATTTTTTTCTTCTCACCAGACCTGTCAAGGGTCTAAAGCAGAGTTAAGCTGTGTGGTAGCTACCACTTAGTGAAGGAAGAAAGCTGAAGGCTGTCAGTGTGAATCCTCAGGAGGAGTCTCTGGAGGCAATCAAAGGATCCAACACAACTGTACCATGTCTCCAGAAGGAATTTTGCTGGAAGTGTATGGAAGCAAGATAGTAAAGGCAGGAAAACTACTAGGGGATGTTGGAGCAGTCCAGGAAGTATGTGTCTCAATCTTGGCCTACATGGAGTTTACATTATAGGTGGAAATCTTTCATATGCTTCAACAGTCCTCAGAACTCTGAGATATTTTTCTTACTAGGGAACTGAGGCTGTGTAGTGAAGCAGCTCATCAAGTCCCCTAGTCAGCAAGACTCAGAACTGGACCAAGACCTCCAGTCGTCCTCTGTGTTCCAATATCCTACTTTTTAGGAAATCTGATCACAAGAAAGCTATTCAAACTAACAGTATTTAGTGATGTAAACAAATTGAGAAAGATAAATGTAAGTTAGCTGTAATTGCCTATTACTCTTTTCCACATTTTACAATAAATTTATTATATTTTTGAAATAGGGACTTTCAAGATACAGCAGTGGGACCTAGACAGACATGATTTTCTTGAAGCTGCTCCTGGTTTGGGAATGTTTGTGACTATTACATCGTATATGGAGGAGGTAAACAATCTTTTATATTTTATTACTAAACTTTTCATCCCCTAATAGCCCCTGCCTCCCCACCAGATTTAGAAGTTCTATGTAAGCACTAGTTAACAAGGATGTATGATTTTCTCCATAGAACTGGCTAAAGGTATGACACACAGATGTAGGAAGTGCCTGCCCTCAAAGAGTCCATAGCCTCAGTGGGGAACAGAGATGATGTCGGCACACTAAGGTTAAGAGGAATTCAGTGGAGGCCCCACATTGGTCCTCTGGAGTCTCGCCAATGTAAAGGGCCAGATGACCACCCCCTCTGCTTCTGTTCTGGAAGAGCCTTCCTCAAGTAATGCAGCAGCCTCTGGATCTGTCTGACCAGACAGACCTCCCCTCCCTGGAGGTCAGTGCAGGAGAAAAGTTGGCCTGGTCATGTGGAAGAATGTGGGTCTCAGAGTCAGAGCCAAGTTCAAGGCAGGCAGTCACCAAAGTGACAACCCTGGGCAGGTCATCTGACTGTGTTGGCCCCCAGTGCTCGCTCTCATCTGTGCAGCGGACGTAACAGAGACCTCCACTCCAGAGCTGTGCTGTGTTTTGCACTGTTCAGTCTATCCGCTTGTACTCAGTTGTCCTGGAAATGTGCAGAGGGGTAGAAGGAGGGTGGTGGACTGAAGCCTTGTGGAACAGGCCAGGCCTCTAACTCACCGGGAGAGGATACTCGATGTAGTCAGGGCAAAGTCCTACTCTCACGACAACTGAGTGATCGTCGGCCAACCTCAGACTAGACCTTTTGACAGCCCTACTCCTGTGGAGCCTGGGAGCTGGGCCACAGGTCCAGTCCCGCAGGGCTGTGGGGCACAGGACTCTTCTGTTTTAACTCGCCTCTCGGCACACTTGGTGTCTCATGGACAAGAGGTCCACTGGGACCACCTTTGTAGCTTCAGTCACCTGTCAAGACAGCTACTTTTTCCTTCCTACTCTCCCATCACCTGTGCTTCTTGCAAATCCAATTCTCTCCTCTTCTTTCTCAATCATCTTTAATGACCAATATGAAAATGTCTCTGAAGCTTATTAAATCTAGCGTTAAAATTTTAGCTGTTTTAAGAACTGTTAGATTAAAACCTCGGCCATTATTTTTAAAAGACAGAGATTCATTCTTTAAAATATACAACTTCTTCCAGGTGTGGTGGGACATGCCTGTAACACCAGCACTCTGGGAGGCTGAGGCAGAAGAATCCCAAGTTCAAGACCCACTTGCGAGACCCTATCTCAAAATACGAATGGCTGGGGATGTAGCTCAGTGCAGAGGCCCTGGGTTCAATCACCAGCCCTGAAAAAAACATTACTGGACCAGGACCAGTGACATGTACCTGTAGCAGGAAGCCGAGGCAGGATCACGTGAACGCACTTTTAGTTAAGGCCAGCCTGGACAACAAAGTAACAGCATGTCTCTTAAGTAATTAAGTAAATTCACAGCTGCCTGAAACAATATCTCCTTTTAGAAGGGAGGAGAAACACTTTCGTTCACTCCGTAAACATTCAGCATACATGTTATGGGATTGATATACCCTAAGTGTCTTGTTGGCCTAAGAGAAACAAAATTCTTGGCCACGGGCCTTGAGATGATCAGGAACAGCTCTCATTTCAACACTGATTACATCCCAAGAGCCCCAGCTAAGTTTCCTCCTAGTACCCCACACGTACTCTGTTTCTGCTTGGGCCAGTGTGTTCAGAGCATAGGTTACTCTCTGTCACTGGCCCTGATCATACATGCATATGGGAATTACCTAGCGGGGGTGGTCAGGGCCGACAGTAACAACAGCTGCAAGCCACACACATCTCTACATTTCTGTATTCTTTTTTCCATTTCCAGTGTTTGGTATGTGAAATTCTGGTTCTGAATGACTTACAAAATGGTATACTATCAACATGTGGTAATACTGAGATTTAAACTCAGTTGTGCTTTCTTCCAATACATCAAGCTAATAAGCCTTCAAAAAGGTTTGCTGAACTGAATATTCACGGGAACAAGACTATGCAGTGCTTGAATACAAAAGTCTTGGAAATGCAGTTTACTTGGTAATGACTAGTCACTGAATACTTCTTTAGGGAAGAGTTCTTTGCTATTCATACAAAAAAGGAAATAAATTATAAAACCTGACCCTTGGCTGTAGTCTTATTTGACAAACTTTCTCTTTCAATGGCCTATTAAAAGAAATTAAGTACAAGATTCTTTATTTTCTTCAAATAAAAACTGAAAAGATATTTTAAAAATATTTTAACTTTCTATATATGTAATATATATCTCTTTTCAAGATGATTTAAGATTTTGCCTTTTAGAGCAGTTTTAGGTTCACAGCAAAACTGAGCAGGAAGCACAATACAGAGAAAGTCCCTGTCCTGACACACACAGAAGTCCATTACCATCAGTAATCCCGGTGTGCTACAACTGATGGTCTACACTGACATGTCACTACCACTTGAGCCCAGAGATCCCACTGCATTTGGCATTGTACACTTCACGGGTCTACACAAGTGTGTGATGATGTGTACCCACTGCTGTACACTGACACGGCGTAGTTTCACTACCCTAAAAATGTTCTGTGCTGCACCTCTTTATCCTTTCCTCTCCTCACTCACTGGCAACCACTGATCCTTTTATTGTCTCCATAGTTTTGCCTTTTTCAGATTTCTATGCTGCCACGCGTTTGGAATCAGTGTGCATCCTTTCTAGGCTCTTTTGCAGTCTTTTCAGCGTCTCTCACCTAATATTTGTTTAAGGTTCCTCCGGGTCTTTTCATGGCTGGACAGCTCATTTCTTTCTAGTGCTGAATAATATCCTATTGTCAGGATGTGCCACAGGTTTTACACTCACCAATAAAAGGACATTTGGCTGCTTCCAAGTTTGGGTAATTATGAATAAAGGTGCTGTAAACATCTGTATGTAGGTTTCACTGTGGACCTATGTTTTCATATTATTTGGACAAATGCCAAGGAATGTGACTGCTGGATCATGTGGCAAGCGTATGCTCAGTTTAAAAAAATGCCACCTGCCTTCCCTAGTGACTGTACCACTGCGTTCTTACCAGCCGTGAATCAGAGTTCCTACTGCTCCACATCCTTGCCAGCACTTGGTGGTTTTCAATGTTTTTAATGTTGGCCATCTAACAGGTGTAGAGTGGTATCTTGTTTCAATTTGCATTTCCCTAATGACATATGGTGTTGGACATCTTTTCATATGCTTATTTTCTATCTGTATGTCTTCTTTGGTGACTGTTTAGATATTTGACCATTTTAAAATTGGGTTGTTTATTGCTGAATTGTAAGAGCTCTTTGTATATTTCAGATAAGAATCCTTTATCAGATATGTCTTCCACAAATGTTTCCCCAAAGTCTGTGGCTTATCTTTTTGTTCTCTTAATATTATCTTCTGCAGAGCACTAGCTTTTCCCTTTTTGAGTCTACCATATCAATCTTTCTTGGGTCATGCCTTTGGTGTTGTTTGTTTTTTCATACCGGGGATAGAACTTGGGTCCTTGCGCTTTCGAGGCAGGTGGCGGAACCACTGAGCTAAATCCCCGGCCCTTGCCTTTGGTGTTATACCTAACAAATCATTACTAAATCCAAGGCCATCTAGAATTTCTCCTGTTAATTTTTAGTTTTATTGTTTTGCATTTTACATTTAGGTCTATGATCTATTTTGACTTAATCCTTATGACAGGCATAAAGCCCATGTCTAGATTGATTGGTTTTTTGCATGTGGATGTTCAGTTGTTCCAGTATTGTGTTTTGAAAAGACTATCTTTTCTCCATTGCATTGTTTCTTTGTCAAAGACCAGTTAACTGTGTCTATGTGGTTCTGTTTCTGTCCCAATAATCCATTTGTCTATACTTTTATTAATACCACAGTGTTGTGATTACTGTAGCTTTACAGTAAGTCCTAAAGTGTAAGTCACTCCTTTCATCCAGTTCCTGTCCCTCAACATTGTGTTATTTTTGTGAGTCTTTTGCCTTTGCATATAAACACTAAAACCAGCTTGTCAATTCAGTGGTATACCTCGTAGTCCCAGGACTGAGTAGTCTGAGGTGGGAGGATCACTTGAGCCCAGGAGTTTGAGACCAGCCTGGGCAAAATAGTGACTCTTTAAAAAAAAAAAAAAAGCTTTAAAAAAAGGTATTCTGCTTCTAAGAAAGTGTAGAGAACTGGAATAACTTCTCCCTTAAATGTTTGGTAGAGTTCACTAGTGAATCCATCTGTACCTGGTGCTTTCTGTTTCAGAAGATTATTCGCTCTTAATTCAACTTCTTTGATTCTTTAAACTTTGTACAAATTTTAGCAGACTGTGTCTTTCCCGAAGTTCATCCATGTCATCTACATTATCAAATCAGTGGGTGCAGACTTGTTCACAGCATTTCTTATCTTGAAGTGTCCATGGGATCTATAAGATGTCCTGTCCTTAGTTTCCGATATTAGAAATTTGGGTCCTCTTTTTTCCCTTATTTTAGCTAGAGGGCTACTGGTTTTATTGATCTTTTCAAAAAACTAGTTCTTAGTTTAATTTCTCTCTATTCCTGTCTGTAACCTGTGACAGTAAGCCAGATTGTCAACGTGATTGCTCGCCCAGGGGATCCAGGGTGTGTCTGGCTGAGTCACTGGAGAGTGACCCTGGATGCTGGGTCTGGTCACTGGCCCCTCCTCTCTGGCACCGCTCCCTTCTCTGCTTCCCAGCCAGCGCGAAGTGAGTACCTTTGCTGCACAGGCCCTCTCACCATGCTGTGTTTGCACTGGAGCCACCTGACCATGGACTGAGACTTTTGAAATCTTGACCAAACTACTCTCCTCCTTTAAGCTGCAAGTGTTGGGTGCTTGGTCCCAGCAACTGGAAAGCTGATCAATACATAATATCATTGATTTCTGCCCTAATTTTTATTTTTCTTCTGCTTACTTTGCATTTATTTTCCTCTTCTTTTTCTAGTTTCCTAAGATGGAAACTTGGATCATTAACTTTAGATCTTTATTCCTTTCTAATATGTGTTCAATATTTTAAATTTCCCCTTAGTCCCTGTGTCATGGTTTGGGTCTAGATGTCCCGCCAAAGCCTCATGTGGTCACAGGAAATTTCAAATCCAAACCATAACAGTTGGCTTTCCTTAAACTTAATCTTCTACTGAAAGGTATTAAAATTACTTCAAGCCAGGGATTTAGCTCAGTGGCACCACGCCTGCCTTGCAAGCGTAAGGTCCTGAGTTTGATCCCCAGTACGCCCCCCCAAAATAAAAAATAAAATAGTTACTTCAAAAATACAATTTTCCTATTACAAATGCCACAATGTTATATTTTTACATATAACTTTGTCTACATGTGGATATGTACAGAATAAATTTCTATAGGTAGAGTTGCTGGATCCATGATGATATTCATCGTAATTTTTAATACATATTGCCTAATTCCTCTCTAAAGTACCTGTTCAATTTACAATTCAGTTTTACTTGGAGAATGTTTATTTCTCCACACTACCACAATACCTTTGGGGGGGGGGCTGGGGGTTGAACCCAGACCTTCACACATAGTAGGCAAATTGCTCTACCGCTAAGCTACACTCCAAGCCCTTCTTTAAATTTTTTATTTTGAGATAGGCTCTCACTAAGATGCCCAGGTTGGCCTCAAACTTGCAATCCTCCTGCTTAATCCTTCCTAATGGCTGGGATTACAGGCATATGCCACTGTAACCTGATACCCCTGATTACTATTAAATCTTTACCAATCTGGCAGTAAACAAGAGATGTCTTACTCTAGTTTGAATTTTTTTATTGCTTAAATGCTGAATATCTTTCATGTTTATTAGCCATTTAACTTCTTCTTTGGGAACTGCATAATTTTAATAGATTTATAGGAGGAAGATTTTTAAGAATATAGAGAATAATAAGCTTAAACTATGGAAATCCTCTATCCTAGGTATTATTCTCAAAGTTATTTGGCTCACAAGGGACATTCTATTTTACTTCATATTCACCTGGAGAACATATCATTTGTTTAGAGTCTAATTCTACAAGGCTTATGTCATTTGGTGGGAGTCGGCTGGTGAGTATACACCTCTTATGTCCTTGCTGATGAACACAGCATCACATTATTCAAGCATGACATTGGTATGCAGGACCATTACACACAGACTGGCTAGAAATTTACTGATGTCCTGGGCCCAGTACTCAATGCAGTAACCAAAGAGGGAGCTGGGGGGCTTGGAAGGCATTCAAAGGAGAGCCACGAGGTTGATTAAAGGGTTTGAAACATAAGAGCTATGAGGGAAGGTTAAAAGAACTGTGATTATTCAGGCTTGAAAACAAGTGAAGGCTGAAGAGTGAATTAATAATGGAATTCTAACAAAACACTTACACAATAAATGGTGGTTGGCTGTTTTCTAAGTGTTTTGAGAATAGACGAAGAGAATTTGTATTTTAGCACAAGAAATTCAGTTATATATAAAGAAAAGTTCCCTGATCACATAAATCAAATTTTCTCAGTACCAAAGGCATTTGTCTGCTACTAAATTTGATGTTCAGAAAGGTATAAATATACTTTCAGGTCAATAGGTTACTATTCACTGCATTATTATTACAAGAAAGACTACAGAGTAGAACAGATAACAGAGTAGTCCAAGAGGGGGAAAAGGGGGGAGCACAAAGATGAAGTGGTGTTCTACTCATGAAAAGGGGGAAGAAGGGAAAGGGGAGGGAGGGAAATGGAAAGACATAAAGACTGGCAAAGCAAGGCAGAAATGTGGACCTGTTTCTAAAATATGCCATTTCTTCCTTTCTACTGCTTGTACAGCGTATCCACTTAGATATTCGAGTTGGAGAACATGACCTTGATGCAGCAATTGCTCAGGCAAAGGACAAAGTTAATGAAGTTACCTTCAAGCTTGAACATCTAATTGAACAAATTGAGCAAATACTCAAAGAACAAAACTATCAAAGGGTCAGTCTGCCTATTCAGCTTATTTTATCTCTTCCTGCCAGGAACACATTTCCAAACACAAAGCCTCTAGACTAAGGAAAGAATAAACTGCCTGTTCCTGGGTCTTTTCAGGCTAGAACTGAGAGGCTATGCAAAGAGTAGGGAGGGAGCAATCTTTCTCCCTGTCTGCTGGACCAAGGGCCCCTCTGGGGAAGGGAACTGCAGCCGGTTCACTCTTTATCCCCACACTGAGTAAGGCGCCAGCAGCAAAGGGTGGGAGCTTATAGAATGAACAAATGAACGCCTCCAAACACCCTCCATATATTTGAAGAGCCTCAAGTACGCCCACTTTCTAGATCATAATTTTGTTTTTGGAGTCACTGTGTTCAGTGGACACTGGTCAGACAGGGGCTCCGATCTGCTCTACCACATAGTAATTTTGTGTCATCTTTAAGCCTCAATTTCTTTATCTGGAAAATAAGGTAAGTACAAGTATGATAATTACATAAGGCAAGTAAGTTCTTGACATAGTGCCCAGCATAAGGGACTCAAATGATGAAAATCTATCTCCGCTGGGTAGGTAATGTTGCTTTGCCTGATGGCTGCAAATAATGTGTATAAAGTAACATCAAATTACTGATATTTTACACTGAAATATAAATATGTTCTATGAGATTGCTTTTTACTCTTTCATACTTAGCTAAACACAGGTTAGCTAAGTTAGCTGATTTTGGCTGAGACTGCACTTTGGCAAAAGACACAAATTTGGTAATATTAAGTATTAAGTAAGTAACCTTACTCTCAGAATCACACATTAAGCCAGACTAGACGGTGCACATCTGTAATCTCTGCCACTCCAGAGGCTCAGGCAGGAGGATGGCAAGTTTGAGACCAGCCTTGGCAATTTAGCAAGGCCACATCACAAGATAAAAAAGTTTTAAAAGGGCCAGGGATGTAGTTCAGTGGTAAAGTGCTTGCCTAAAGCTCAAAGCTCTGGGTTCATCTCTAGTACCACAAAAAAAGTGCACATTTAGTACTGTAAGCAACTAAATCCATCTATTTCTCTTCTGCATAGGACCGAGAAGAAAACTTTCGGACGACCAGTGAAGATACAAATGGCAATGTTTTATGGTGGGCTTTAGCACAAACGTTCATCTTTATTTCAGTTGGAATTTTCCAAATGAAATACCTTAAAGATTTCTTCATAGCTAAAAAACTTGTTTAGAATATTATCAATAGAGACAAATAATTTGCATAATGTTTGAATAAACCAAAATAAATGCACAAATGTGCATCACTTTTATGATTTTGAAATATCAGAGGTTGAAATTAATGTTATAGAGTTGCAACACTGATAAAATGTTACATCAAAAATGTAGTTTCTGGGCTGGGCGTGGTGGGCACAATCCTAGCACTCAGTAGGCTGAGGCAGGAGGATTGTGGTGAGCTCAAGGCCAGCCTGAACTACACAGCAAGACCCTGTCTCAAAGCAAACAGGCTGGGGATTTAGCTCAGTGGTTCTGCCACCTGCCTCAAAAAGCACAAGGTCCCAAGTTCAATCCCCGGAACCAAAAAAAAAGAAGGCACTCAAAGACTTTGGGCCGGGGGTTTAGCTTAGTGGTTCTGCCACCTGCCTCGCAAGCACAAGAACCTGAGTTCGATCCCTAGTACCAAAAAAAAAAAAATGTCAAAGCAAACAAAAAATGTAGTTTCTGAATTTGATAAAATGAGCACATTGTATTTCAAACCTGATATAAATCAGTGCTGTGCAACAGAAATAAAATATGAGCCACATATGAAATTTTAAGTTCTCTCATCACTGCATTAAAAAGGATTTTAAAGAAAGGTAAGATGAACCCTAGTAGCATATATTTAACTCAATACATCAAAATACCGTCATTTTAAAATGTACTCAATATAAAGTTCCTCATGAGATATTTTAACATTCGTTCTTCCTGTCTTGGAGACCAGGGCTGTAGGTTACTCACAGTTTGGTCCGGTTTGGACCGCTGTGTTTCAAGGGTGCAGTGTCCTCGGGAGGTCACAGCCATAGCTCTGCAGGGAGCGAGTGCATGCACTCCTGAGGGCGTCCACCAAGGATCATCACCTGAACCTAATTCCCTGGAAGAAAGTACCTCTACTCTACCAGTCCTTGCAGACTGTCTGGTGCCATGGAGGAGATCTGGCATCTTATGAGAGGGATAAATGGTATTTCGAAAGCAACCGTGTGTGTGTGTGTGTGTGTGTGTGTGTTTGTACGTGCATGATGTTGGGATCCAGCCCAGGGCTACACATGTGTTAGGCAAGCGCTCTAACACCGAGCTTCATTCCCAGCCCTTTAACTTTCACATCTGAAATAATTATAACCTTAATGGAAGCTGCAGATGTGAAGCCCTCCCGACATGTTATTTGTGCTCAGGAAGCAGCCTGGCAGAGGCTAAGCCCTTTCCCACGCCACCGTGGGGGCCGCAGGGCCCCTGCCTCGCCCTGCTCGCCGCAGTCCTTCCACAGGACTCCGACTCCGCGGATCCCGCTGTCGCCACTCACCACCTACCTTCCCCGCGCAGGGTCGCAGGGACGGAGGCCCGCCCGCCCAGGTCCTCTGCCCATCTCGCGTGCCCACCGGGCGCCACCTGGGCCTGACAGGACAGCTGTCCCACAGGCGAAGGTGAGGACTGATGGGGTAGAACGCCCAGTGCCAGGTCCTCCGGCGGACGCCTGCCCCTGCAGCCTTGTGGGCAGGGACGTTGAGCTCCATTTTCATCAGTGGGTTTTGGCGGGATGCCTCAATGCGGACACGCAGCTGCCCAATGTGCGCAGGCGCAGACCACTTCGCCTCACGCCTTCATTGGTGTCTGCCGGCGCCTGGTTTTGGCGGGGTGTCTCAGTGCGCAGGCGCGACATCCGCAGTGCGCAGGCGCTGAGCTGCCCACCGCGTTTGCGGGCCTCCGTGGCCTCGCAGACTCGCCGGGTATGGCCAGCTGGGTGTTCTGTAACCGCTGCTTCCAGCCACCCCACAGGAAGTCATCCTTTAGCCTGACCAGCTGCGGGCACGTGTACTGTGACGCCTGCCTCTGCAAAGGTCGGGGCAGGCTCGGGGGTGGGAACACCCAGGGGAGGCCCCGCGGCGGGACTGACGCCCCAGCCGGCAGGGCGCTGTGGCCGAGCGCCCAGGGCCACGCGCGGCCGGGATTGATACAGGCCGCAGGACCACGGGTGACCAAGACCCCGAGTGTGGAACGATCCCATAGAAAGTGGAGTCGGTCACCTTGGCAAGAATGGTTTTGAAGAAGATAAACAAAGCTAGGAAGAAGAGGTTGGGTAAAAGTAAAATGAAGGAGCTGAAGCTCGGCTGGACCAGGGACCGCTGTCCCCGGAACTGCAGAGGATGTCGTGAGAGTGGTGGGGACGAGACGCCTTTGAGGCCAGCAGCGCCGTGCTGCAGTGCCTGCTGTAGGGCCCAGGGCAGGGGCTGCGTCCCCTGTACTTATGGCTCTTGAAGCCTGAGGCCAACACAAGATCTAGTAGCTTGAGGTGATTTTTCCAAAAAGCCACAGTCACTGTGTGTTGAAAGCACACCAAGGGCAGGGCCCGCAGAAATAAAATGGTGCAGAGGGATGGGGCTGTGGGCAGAGCCCTGACCTGGCTGTCCAGGACCCATTGCTCATAAGCCCTCCTGAAATGCTGTGCATGTCTTTCTAGACTTTTCCCTATAGATGCAAGTGTTAAACACAAAAATTATACTTGCATATGCCACTTAGTAATCTACCTTTATTATTTTCTGGGGCTCTTTCTCTGTTGAAATAAAAATGTATCATCATTTTTAAGGTTGTGAAATATATATTTTAGTTCCCATACCTTAAAATTATTTGATTCCCTGCTAAAGGACAACTGCTGTCGTTCACTTACTTTTTTTTACCTTGAAGTTCATTCCGAGGGATGGGGTTGCTAAACTGGGCGTATGCCCATTAAAGTGAACCAAACTTCCCCCCAGGGAAGGCATGCCCATTGACTGAAGGACCCAGCGTTGACTTGGGAGCACCTGTTGTCCCCTCATTAGTGGCCTGGCTTTTCTTTTCTTACATTTATTGGCTATTTACTGATTGCTATTGGAGTCCTCTCACAGTCTTTTATTGGAATATTTGTTTCAGTTGTCTTAGAAGCACTATTTGTCAGCTATCAACTACTTTGTCAGTGAGCTGCAAGTGACTTCCTCTATAGAAATCTCTCAATCCTTCTCCCAAAGCAGAATGCTTAGATTTTTATGAGTCAGCTCTGTAATCTTTCACTGCAGGATTTCTGGGTGTGATGGTGTATAAAAGGAATTTCATTTCTCCAGAGTCCATAGTGAAAGAGAGAGGGGGAGGAACTGGTGTCTTGAATGTAGTTTAAGAGGAGAGGGGAGGAAGCCATTCTGGAGGCCATTGGAAGGGGACCATGCTTTCCAAACCAGGCCACCACACTCTTTGAGGTGGTGTGGATCTGAGGTGAGTGTGACTCAGAGGCAGCTGCCCTCTCAGATAGAAAGAAAGGAGGCAGAGTGAATCAGGTGGTTATCTGGCTCTTAGGTCTGGAGGAGAGGATGGGGAGTTGAGGTAGATTGTGAGGAGGGGGCTTGTTAGGGGGTTTTTCATTTGAGCATCAGCACAGGGACAGGGTGGGGGGAGCACTGAACAGAAGGTTCTTCCAGCAGTGCTACAGACCCAGCAGTGTTGGAATCCACACATTTGTGACTCCACATCTCAAGTGGGTTTGCCCCAGTTCTTGGCTGCACTGGACACCAGAAGGAAAAGAAGACAGCAGCAGGGCCTGCCCAGCTTTGGGGCAGGTATACTTCCTGGAAAGATGAGGAATGTGGAAACTGTGGGCTCAAGCTGGCTAGTGAAGAGCTCACAGGCATGAGAAAGTGGCAGGCCTCAGGGAAGGAGTTGAATGTAGGAAAGAGTACTGTGTTTACTGATGATGCCTAGGGAGGCAGCAGAGGTGCTGATTTGGAGCTCGGGACCTCCATGTGGAGAGCAGGTGGGAACAGCAAGAAGGCAAGCCAATGGAGCTGGGTCTCCAGATAATGATTACAATCCATGGAGAGAAAGATGGTGACGTAGGGCTGGAATCCCTCTGGATCTGTGGGAAAGAACTGGAGATTGGGCAGCAGATTGCTGGATGCTAGCAGGTGGAGCATAGTAACCTGTGCTTAGGCCTAGAGCTGGTCGCAGGTAGCAGGAGCTCAGGTAACTAGGCACCTAGTGCATGAAGGAGTGGTGTGTCCTGACGTGATACCTTGTGTGGTGGAGAGGTGAGACTGAGAGGGGCAGAGAAAAACTCATCCTTTGGGTGGAGTTGGAGCAGCTATTTTCATATTAAATATAGTCAAATTTTTAAAGTGAGATACCACTGTAAGACCTAATTGTAATGAATATAAGGAATAGATTTTTTTCTCCAGTGCTGAGAATCAAGCCCAGGGCTCACTTAGGCCTGGCAAGCACTCTGCTGCTGGGTCACATCTCCAGCCCTGGGATACAGCTGACCTTAAGTGTTGTCCATCTTTATGGCCTTGTTTTGCTGCATATTTGCAAACCAGGAGAAAGGGGTTGTTGCATAAATCACTGAACTGTATGCATACCTACAGCGTCATTCTCTCCCTGAATATAAAACCATTTAGGTGCCATAATCTTGCATATCTCTTGAAGAAACATAATTTAAAGACTGCATTTATACACATCTAAAAACTAGTATAACATAAAATCTGTTCTTATTTTATAGGCAAAAAGGATGAATGTGTGATTTGTAGAGTTCCTTGTCGTACAGTTTTACTCACAAAACATGTAAGTTGAAACCTGTTGAATTTGAGTATTTCTCTCAATAATATTTCCTTTCAATTTGAAATTTAATTTGTAGTCAGTTGTGGTATCTAGATTTTCCATTTGTTTGGTTGGATTAACAGCATATTGTGAGACTTCTGAAAATCAATGTGGAGTTAGGATTAGGTTTCTAAGACCTCACTAACTTCCTCTCTCAGCCATAGATTGACTTACTTACCACCTCTTGGACCAAGCTGTGTTCCTGGGAGTGAAAATGAGTTAGAAAGATTTCTTCAGCACAATACCAGCTCTTTAGGATGCAGTGGAGTTTGGTTTTTCATTGAGGTCATATGTGTGTAATTCAGAAGGTTTAATGACAGAAACTTAAAATCAGGTACAGTACTGCTGCCTTTGGCTTAAAACCATGCCTTTGGTTCTGTCTAAACTACATTAGTTTTTCATGTTCTTTGGTACAAACTTAGTTACAAACGATTGTTCTCTTCCTCCTCACTCTCTAACGTGTATGTTTGCTCTAATATCTTAAAATGTCATAATTCTTTTATTACAAATATAAAACAAAGTTACACAGAAGTTCAGACAATACAGAAAATTAATCTGAAGGTTCCCCAAATCCTGTTTCTGAAGACAACAACCTAGACTTCGGTGCCTATTGTGGTTTTTATGATTTACAAAAGTGTTTCCCAGGTGACATTATATTTGGGGCACCCTTTTTTTTTCCTTAAATTCTTTTAAGAATTTTGGTACATTTTAGGTAAACAATATGTTTACATTTATCACTGGGTGCTTGTACCTGTACATGATGTATCTTGGCTCTTATTTTTTTTCCCATTACCTGTGCGCGGGGCACCCTCTTTTAAAATTACTACATAATATGTATTTCAGCATTTTCCTTTTGATGAGCCTGTGGGGTTTTCGGCTTTTCAGTTTCAGAAAACCTCACAATGAACATTTTTTTTTTTGGTACCGGGGATCGAACTCAGGACCTTGTGCTTTCGAGGCAGGCAGCAGAACCACTGAGGTAAATCCCCGGCCCCACAGTGAACGTTTTTTAACAATCTCTCTGCATTTGTGAGAATATTTTTTGTTGCATAAATTCCTAGAAGTGAAAAAGAAAAGGAAAAATATTTAAGTGTTTGTATCTGTAATAGAAAGGGCCTATTTTCCTCCAGTGTGAGGCAGCATGAAGTCCCAGGAACCGTCTGTTTCTGCCATGCACTGCTCTGCAGCACTAAGCCGTGCCACACAGTCAGGCTCCAAGTGGAGCCTGGAAGGTACCTGACCCTTTCTCTGCCTTCATGGGTTGAATGTTCAGGTCACTTGTTTTATTCCTTATTCCCTAATAAATGTAACAGAGTTGTTTGCCAGGCACGGTGGCACATTACTGTGGTCCCAGCACTCGGGAGGCTGAGGTAGGAGGATCACTGCAAGTTTGAGACCAGCCTCGGCTACATAGTGAGTTCAAGGTCAGCCTGAACTGCTGAGTGAGACCCTGTCTCAAAAAAAAAAAGATGTAACTGAGGCTATCCATTTCCTTTTGTGCATTGTGTTTCTAGGTCACTTTTAGTACTGCTTTTCTGAATCATTTCTAAATAATCTCTAATTTGTTCTCTCTTTTCTTTCTATCTCTCTTTCTCTCTCTTCCTTTCCTTTCCTTTCCTTTCCTTTTTCCTTTCCTTTCCTTTCCTTTTTCCTTTCCTTTCCTTTCCTTTTTCCTTTCCTTTCCTTTCCATTCCTTTCCTTTCCCTTCCTTTTTCCTTTCCTTTCCTTTCCTTTCCTTTCCTTGTACCGGGGATCAAACGGGGATCCTTGCGTTTGTGACGCAGGCAGTGGAACCACTGAGCTAAATCCCTGGCCCTTTATTTCCTTCCTAACTCAACAATTATTTGAAAGAATACCCTTTAATTTCTAAATGGTTAGATCATGAGTCTCCAACCTTTTGGTTGTCTGGGCCAAAAGGAATTGTCTTGGGCTACATATAAAATATATAATGTAGTTAATGAATGTAAGTAGAAGAATTTCCTTTTAACAGTATTTTTATTATAACATTTTTTAGGGCCAGGGATTTAGCTCAGTGGTTCCGCCGCCTGCCTCGCAAGCGCAAGGTCCCGAGTTTGATCCCCGGTACCAAAAAAAAACCCCATTTTTTTACAAGAGGGTAACATAACCATAAAACTAGTGGAATATTTGACCTTGTTTTTGTAAAACTAATGCATCCATGTCTACTTCAATGAAAGTTATTGAAATTCTCAGTAAGTTCCCAAGGTGTTCATCAGGAATTTTTAATCAGTTTTACTCTTTGTATTCTTTGCCCCTGAAAATAGTTGTTCACAAATGTATGTAGTGCCAAAAAGCAATGGGATGAGTAAGGCATGATTGTGAAGCAAGGAATATTTTTCCTGGGAAGGTAGGTTTATAAAAGCCTAGTAAAGAGGATTGGGGATTTGGCTCAGTGGTGCCGCCGCCTGCCTCACAAGCACAAGGTCCTGAGTTCAATCCCTGGGACCAAAAAAAGTCTAGTAAAGAGACATAATCAGATTTTTCTTTGACTTGAATGTCACTCTGCTCTGATTTATATCCAAATATTAATAAATAAGCAACCATTTATTTTTCTAGCATTAGCAATGTTGTATATGTAATCATGACATCATAAACAAAAAACTGTTTGTCTTAGTTAACTTTTCTCTTGGATGAGACAAAATACTTGACACTCACAAGTCAAAGATTTATTGTAGCTCACAGTTTGTAGAGGTTTCATTCCATAGTAGACTGGCTCCAAGGCAGAACGGCATGGTAGGAGGGCATCACAGAGCAGAAACAGTCCATGGGAGGAAGCAAGTTTCCCTTTCCTTTTTATCCCATCTAGGCTACAAGCCTTTTGGATGGTACCACCCACACCCAGGGTAGGCCTTCTCATTATCCGCACCTAGAACTATGATAAACCAATTAGTGAACTAATCCATTACCATGCCTTCTTAATCCCAGTATCACACACCCTAGGTCCAGCCACCTCCAAAAAGCCCCACCTATGAATGCATGAGGCTTTGGGGGGACATCTAGATAATAAGCCACAATTCTGTTTGATACATTTTGTACTTCCTCTGTCCCTGCTGCTAAAAAGGAATTTCAATTTATTATCTTGTGAAATAAGAACAATAAAACAACAAGCTCAATTTTAATAAATAGGAAAATCTACATATCTGCTTAATAACAGCAAATGCTTATGTTAACTGGCATACATATGTGTAGGTGGATTGAACACTGTTATTCGCAGTCACTGTGTTTCTCTTGCCGTGTGACATCTGGTATGCACAGGTTTCTGTCTGTGCCTGTGTGAGGTGAGCACAAGCGGCACAGCCAGCACTGCCCTGTGCCCTCCCTGCACTGCACTCTGGTCAGCTGTGCAGTGTGTGCCTGACTACTGAAAGCAGTCATGAAAGAAACCAGTAAGAACCACATAATGCTGTTAAAAGTGTATGATCCTGTGAAGCTCATTACCAGCTGTCCAGGGCCCATGCAGACCATGGGTTGGACATGCCTGGGTTAGATTTAGCTTCATGCCATTTTCATGGTTAAGTTTTAGTTTTATGGCATTGTGAGCTGAGAGGGTAACTATATGGTGTCTTTTTTAGTCAGCAGGATTCTCATTGTGGTTTGCATGTAGAGTTCTGCAGAAGCTTGGAAAGCATGTCTTCTGTTCTCCATGAGGGAGTGAATGAGGGAAGCTGTGGCAGCATTGAAGTGTGGCTACTTCTTTCTCTGGACCCCTGTTCTACACCATCACCTGGGGTGCTCCAGCAGCCTCCTCAGGGTCCACATCTCCCTCACCCATCTTCCTTCCCTGTGGGCCTTCCTGCTCTGCAGCCTGCAGCTGGTGGGCTCTGCCTGGGTGCAGATCAGATCCAAGCCTCCATGAGTTCCACCTCAGGGGGAAAGCCAAGGCCCCTGGTGCTCATGGCTCTGTGGCCCGGCCTCTGTACCCTCTTGGTCTCCAAGCTAGTGTCCCCAACCTGCTACTGCAGCTATGGAGCCTGGGGCTTCCACCCAGTGTCTGGCCTTTTGCTGCCTCTGACTGGAACATTCTCTCAGCATTGCTCCATCCTCCACAGCCATCAGGTCTCTGTGGAGAGTCATCTTCTTGGAGACTGTCCCCATCTGTGCTGTGGAATAGCTGTGTCTGTCTGTGACTATGACCTACAGCAGGAAAGACTAGTGCAGCACAGGGTCTGCTCTGTGAAGTGTCACAAGACAGTGTTTGTCTCCACTAAGTGTACCATCTTCTGATGGTTTCTACTCTGATCTGTTTCTTTAAAACAAAAGTTGTGTTATTAGATGATTTTACCTGACTAGCGGTGTTACACATCACTATACAAAAGGTACCCCCAACTCTGTTTGCCCATATACAGAATAACATAACATACATTCATCAATTTGCCATGAAAATGAGCATTATGGCTACACACTGGAAGTAGAGCACCACTGCACTGAGCCTCTGTGGGGAGCAGGAAATGGAAGCTGGTGCCTGCAGGACAAGATGGGCCTGGGCCTCCAGGAGGAAAGGCTTTAGAGAGTCCAGAGCAGAGATGTGGTCCATCTCCTGAGGAGCCATGAGAAAGGATGCATTCAGGCAAGGCCTACCTGGTCTCTAGCAGAGGTGGAAAGGAATAAAGATCCCCTGAGACTGGAGAAGCCAGTTGCTTTTGACTCAAGTGGTAGAATTTTTTTTTCTTTTGGCAGTTCTGAACAAATTTAATGAGCAAGTCATGACAGGCCTGAGGGAGCTGGACACTTGAGCCACTGGGAAATGGGGTGAAGGAAGGTTGCTGAGTATTCCCAATTGTTGCCTTCAAACAAAATCGGGTGTGTTCAGGGTGGTATGGCCGTAGACTCAGTTGCCACCTTCAAATGGTAGAGTCATTGATTGATGCTACATTGTGCAGCTGGTGGTGGAAAGAGAGTCGAGCTTTCCTGCTGACGTAGGCACCAGCCCCTGGAAGGAAGCCCTCTCTCAGCCGCGACGGGGACCATAGCTGGGTTGGGCTCTAGAGGGGCAGCAGGATTCTGGCCTGCTCCTCTCTCAGTCTCCCGATGTCTCCAGCATCCACACCAAGGGAAACACCAGGCCCCCTTCACACCCACCTCAAGAAAACTGGACTGCTGGGAGTGGCCAGGAGGGACCCAGAGTATGGTGTCTAAGCCCCCTCCCAGTGTAGGCAAAACTACTCAAGTGGTAAAAATTTTGTCTGGAATTATGATAAGAGTTATGTCTGTGATAAAGGCCCCAGCAGCCCAGGTGGATGCTCTTCTTGTTCTAGTCACTTTTTCGTTCCTGAGACACTATGCCTGACACCCACATCTTAAAGAGAAAAGATTTATTTAGGCTCATAGTTTGTAGATGTTTCAGTCCATAGTCGGCTGGCTCCAAGGCAGGACAACAGAGGAGCATGGCAAAAGAGAGCTCATGGCTTGGCACACAGGCAGCAAAGAGCAAAAGGAGGAGCCAGAAAAGAAGATAAACCTTTCTAGGCCACACCCTCAGTGACCTGCCTCTTCCAACCAGCCCAGACCTCCTGACAGGAAGTCAGCTATAAGCTGTAATCCAATCACTGTCCTGTCGAGAAGCCCTACCTGTGACCACATGAGGCTCTTGGGGAACAGCTAGATAGAAACCAGCACACTTGTCATGCCCTTTCTATAATCCCCAGTGAGCTAGCCAGGATTTGGAGATGTGCATGTGGGTGTGCCCCAGAAGGCAGAGGGATTGCCCCTCCACCGCAACCCTCCCAGAGAAGGAGCCCTGGGCCCTTCTTTAGACGCTGTGTCCACTCTGCATTGCTGGGGGTTTCTCTAGTTGTCCAGCCCCAGGCCCTTTTGGATGTTGGTTTGTGGCAAGGACCTAGGGATGTGCCTGTCTTCTAGTTCAGGGGTTGCACACTATTATGGTTTAAATGTGAAGGGTCCTCCAAGCACTCATGCACTGAGGCTTTGATCCACAATGCAGCAATGTCCAGTGGTAGGGCCCTGACTTCATCCATGGGTTAATCCATCAGTGAGTTTATAGTTAGTGGGCTTAATGGGCAGGGCCTAGTTGGATGAGGTAGGTCACTGAGAGTGCATTTTTGTCCCAGCTCCTTCCTCTCTGACTCTCCCCTCTCTTTCACTGTTTCTGGCAGCCATGAGATGAGCAGCTTTCCTCCACCATGCCCTTCCATCGTGGTGTTTCTGCCTCACTAGACACAAGGAGCATGAACTGAGACTGAGCCAAAATCTTTCCTCCCTTAAGTTATTTCAGCTATTTTGTTCCCGCAACAGAAAAATGACTGATACACTAAACTGGGACCCAAAGAAGAGGACAGTAACTCACCTGGCGACCTGAGCTTGCCATGTGGCAGTGCCTTTCAGGTGTGCCAGTGGGGGAGTGACTTTCTGTATTGGCAAGAAGGAAGCAGATACCAACAACCAGAATGAAACCCACGCATGTGGTTGTCCTCCGACCTGTTCCTCTCCTCCTGGTACCCAGAGTGATGAATACAGGGGGAGCAAGAAAGGCCACTTATGGGCCTAGCCCACAAAAGCAACCTCCTGGACAGCCCTAGGTGTCCTGCAGAGGCCTGGGCCCAAGGCCCAGAGTGAAAGCTACTGAGTATGGGCTTGAATTGTCACATGGGCAAGGGACAGGTGTCCCCCACAATGAGCCACTGCATGGGGGTTGTCTGATGTACCCATTGGCCTACATTGGTCTTTGGATGCCCATATAAGTTTAGGAATAACTTGTCAATTTCCACACACACACACAGAATCCTGTTGGGATTTTCATTTTGCACTTAATAAGATGACATGAAGGGAATTGGTACATATAATATTGACCCTTCTAATCCATGACTGTGGCATTTGTCTTGTTTACCTGTAAGTCCTCTGATTTCTCTTAGTAATGACTGCTGGCTTTCTTTAGACAGGCTTCCTGCACCCCCATCAGCACCATGGTGATGGTGATGGTTTCTAGGCTTTGATGATTTGAAGGTCTGCTACAGTTTTTAAAATTTTCATTTTCTCAGCACTTACTCCTAGTACATAAAGTATAGTTGATTTTATTGACTTATACTAGAGATCTTGCCAAATTCACTTGATAATCTCTTGGTGTATGTGAAGCTTCCTCTAGGGTTTTCGCATTGGCACTCACAGCCCCCAGTTACTGGCTGGCCCTCCAGCTGACGCAGAGCAGGAGCTGGTGCCAGAGCTAACCATCTCTCTTGACTTCGTGGCCAGCCTTCTCTGCTTCACCACCAAAGAGTATATTTTGTGTACACTAAGTTTTTTGCTTGGGTTTTTTTTTTAAGCTATAAGTGGTGTAGAGCTTTTGCTTTTTCTACAGCTAACATCTTTCCTTTTTTAACCTCACTTTGTTAATGTGATGAATTGTATTTATTTAAAAAAATTTTAAAACCCTATTAGATTCCAGAAGTAAATACAAAGGGGTGATGTGGCACAGCTCATGTAAATGGATGAACTCGGTTACTACTGTTTGGCTTGGAATTTTTGTTCATGTGTGAGCTGGACCTGTAATTTTCCCTTAATATAATGTTCTTTTCAAGTTTGGTTAAGTCAGTTATGGCTTCATTAATAACAAGAGTTAGAATTTTTTCATGGTACCGGGCATTGAACCCAGGGCCTTCTGGCTTTCCCTGGGCACAGAAGGACGTGGCCCATGGCCCTGTTTCCCTTGGTGCCACCCTACTGAGGTGAAGTGCTGGCGCCACCTCTGGTTCATTCTAGACCTTGATGTGCAGTTTTTTAATCAGTGGCCAGAAGCTTTAAGTGACAAATAGTGAGCCCTTGGCTTTTCTTTCAGACCGACTCCAGCATCCAGGCCTTCTTCATGGGTATAGACAGCTTGTGTAAGAAGTATTCACAGGACACTGCCCAGGTAAGTGCTGCTGAGGGGGCTTGGGAACAGACATGCAGGCCTGTCATCTCAGACGGTGTGCACTGTGTGCTCTGGAGGCCACGCCCTTGCAGATGTGGGGTCAATGTGTATTTTCTGCCTTCTCTGGGTTCTTTTCACCTTTGCAGTGGTGAAGCACCTGTGCTTCAATCTGGACAAAGCCCATGTGATTTATTTTGATGTCACACTGAGACCCACATGGGCTCAGTTCAGCCCTGGGCCCTTTTAGGCAGGATGCCCCAGGAAGTTCAGTTCCTGAGAACCTCCCTCTAGGCCAGGTCTCTGGATTCAGGATAGTAGGTTTCTTTGTGAAGCTATCCTATGCAAATAGCACCCAGGGCTGCAAGTGCCTGCTCTCACCTGTTTGGTGGTGCAGGGCTGCACAGGCGCCTCCCTCCTGACTCCCTCTTCCTGGCTTCATGTCACCTCCAGCTGAGGCAGGTGGCCTGGGGGAGTTTGTGCCCACCCCACCGATGTCCTCAGCCACACCCCATTTTCTAGGCCGAGATCAGCCAGGTCTGTTCCGCCGTCCTCGCTCTCTGGGAGCAATGCCTAAATGGTCCTCACAAGGACCCCAGCTCAGATTACACCCAGCTGTGACCTTGGGGAAGCACCTGAGACTGGGTTTAGCTGACATAATGGGTTTATTGTTTTAAAGACTCAATAAACACTTTTAAATTTCTGTCTTAATTTCTAATGGATAAATAGTGACAGATAAAACCCACATAAGCAAAGCTCCTCAGATCCACAGACCAGAACTCTGAGTCCTGCCATAGGATGGCAGCAGAGATCTCAGCAACAGCCACCTCAGGGGCCTTTGCTGTCCCCTTCCTCAATTCCTTTGGGACAGACAGATGTCTCCTGCCTGAAGACCTCTGTGAGAGCCTCTGTCACAGAGGCCCTGGCCGAGTAGGGCTCATCTGTGCTGTGCAGGCCGGGCTCTGACCCAGCAGGGCAGGAACTTGCTGGTCTGCAGAGGAAGAACCACCCTGGGTGTGAGCAGAGCTGTGGGCTGAGGAGTGTGCTCACCTGGGGTGCCTGCCACTCCCACCCCCAGCACAGACACTTGCTGTCTGCCCCAGTCTGAAACCTGGAGATGCTGCTTCTTGGAGGAGACTACTCTCCGTGCAGCCTGCACTGTCTCGGATCTCCATTCCCTGCCACAGTCTCTTCACCTCATGAACTGTGGACAAAAGTATGTCAGCCCTGGGCAGCTCTAAATAGATCTGGTCCAGTGCAGCCTCCACTTCCTCTGCCCTGGGTTGACTCGATCTGAGAAGCATAGATCATATAAGAAAAAGATGTAGGATTCTTTTTTATTTATTAATAAAATCTCCCTTCTGAGGCCATACCCAGGGTCTGTAGCCCAGGCCAGAGAAACCCTGTGGGTAGCATAACACTGAAGGCCAGGGTGAGACCCCAGCAGATTGCAGACCCAGGGACGTGGACATATGGGGTCCAAGCTGTCCCCTACTCCCCTGCTCACAAGAGAAACCCTGAACCCACATTCTGCCAGACTCATCCCCTCTGCAGCTGTCCCCATCTCCCTGGGTTCATCTCCCCTCTGAGCTTCTGGGGATCCAGAGACACCATGGTCACAGCCTTGACCTTGCTGCAGTCACACCTACCATGGCCAAGACAGGGTCAGGCACAGAGGCTGTGTGCTGTCCCCACCAGGGCCCTTATCCAGAGAATGGTAGTCCCCTGCACCCCAGTGCCCACCGCCAGGCCCATAGACCTAACTGGTGTGGACATCTGCTGAAAAGTGTCAGGCCCCTAGTGTCCCCAGGTACCATGCCTGTGAGGTATGGGCCATAATCCAAGGCCCTGCCTGCACAGATGTGGGACAGGAGACAGGCAGCCAACTGCCAGCACTCTTCCTGTTACTGCCTGACCACAGGTGCCTCGGGCAGGAAGGGAAGGGCATGAGGAGTCACTGAGGTCCTAGAGCTTTGCTTGTCCAGACATGGTGCCATTGGGCTCCCCAGAGCCGGGCACAGGTGCCAGCACCCTGGTTCTCCCAGGAGCCCACAACAGAGTCAGGTGGGCTCAGCCTCCCCACACTGCCATAGGGAAGCACATGAGGATGTGGCTTGTGTCACCTGCAGGACTCTTCAGCACTCCTCATGGTCTGCATGAGCAGCACCTGGGCTGTGCCCACCTTGTTGCAGAGCTGATAGCTCTTCTGGGCCTGAAACTCGGCCACTCTGAGGAAGATGTCACTGCTGACCCAGAGGTGCTATCTCCACGGAGGAGATGGGGCTGCAGGCCCAGCTTGTGCCCATGTCCCTATCCACAGCTAGATTGTCTTCTGTTCCAGGCTGCACACTGCTCCCTCCTGTCTGTGCATGAGCAGATTGCCAGGCTTGCAGGAAGTGACTTTAAATGCACTTTATCCACATTTGGCCCTCTGTCTGCAGGCCGTGCCTGAGTGGTGGCAGAGTTAGGTGACATGGGACAGTCCAGTGTTTGAAGTGGGTGGGCACCATCATCTGAGCCTTCACTTACCAGAAACAGCTGCCTCCTCCAAGTTTCAGACCACTGTTTCCTCCCTTGCATTGGAGCTTCTGTAAGGAAGACCAGGGATGGAACAGGTTTCAGGCACGGCTGGCTCTGGCAATGCAGACAGGTCACGGGCAGTCTGCCTGGGCTGCCTTCTGCTTTGGCTCTTCCCCACTGGCCTGGGCCATGGTTCCTCACTTGGTGCTGGTTGGTCAGTCACTGTCGTCAGAGTGACAGCACACTGTGGCCGTCCCAGCTTGGACAGGAGAGGCAGTGGGATGACAAGCAGTCATGGTATCTATCAGGAGGGCTTCGTAGAGAGCAGGCTCAGTGGCCTCTGTTGGACACATTCCCTACTCTGGGAACCTCAGCACCAAGCACCCACACTGGGCAGCCCTGACGGCAGCACCCTCACCCGACAGCACCCACACGTCTCCGTGGAAGGAGATGGTGCGCAGCCACGCACTCCCACCTTCCAACACCACCACCTCCCCGCTGACATGTGTCGCCTGTCAGATTTCAGAGTTCCAAGACAAGCACAGGAAGAGGCTGCTCGCCTTCTATCGAGACAAGGTAAGCAGAACGATCTGCTGCCTGCTGGACCATTTGGCCTCTGACCCAAGTCTCTTGTCTGACACCACCCTCTTTGGGGGCCCGGTAGGAGACTGCTCTTCTTAGCTTTTCCAGTGTGCGGTGTTGTCGCTCTCTCCCCTTGCCTGACACCTGTCTGCAGTTCACTCAGAGCATCCTGGGCCCCTTGGTTCCTCTACTCAGCTGTCCAGGGTTTTGTTTTGTCTGTGGTGTTGGGCATGGAGCCACCCAGAGCCCTGCAGGTGCCAGGCAAGTGTGAACTGCCAAGCAGCCCCAGCCCTCTTTGAAATTTTACTCAGAGGCTCAGTCACTAGTGCAGACTTCAGACTCTGAATCCTCCTGCCTCAGCATCCCAAGTAGCAGGATGCTACTGTGCCTGAATATCTTGGTTTTTAAAAATGAAAATCCTGGGGCAGGGTTTTGTTGGGTTTGGTGGGTTTTTTTGGTTTGTTTTTTTTTTGGTACCAGGTATCGAACTCAGGTCCTTGTGCTTGCAGGGCAGGTGGCTGAACCCCTGAACTAAATCCCCGGCCCCTGAAAGTCCTGCTTTTAAAACTCTGGAGTTTTTGGAGTAAATTAAATGAGGACCCTGGCTTTAAGGCCATGGAACTCTGGAGCCCCTTCCTCAAATCCAGAAGCTATTGCCTGGCCCCACTGCTACTTCTCTGTGTGTGGCCATCAGAGGGGTACGGGGTGCTCAGGTTCTGTGCACAGACCCTCCAGCCTCAAGCAGCCACTCCATACCACACCCGGCAGTGCCCCAGAACCCAGCCAGAGGATGCTTGCCTTGTGCTGAGCTTTGGCTAAGCCCTCTGTTGTGTTAATGTCTTCTGCCCCTAGCAGACCTAGAGGACAGGCAGTACTGACCCCACTGGACAGACACCACCATAGGAAGGAGAGTTAAGTCACGGCCTCAAGCCCTTGCAGGTCTGGGTCCAGATGTAGGCCCAGGCCCTGCTGTATCACAGGCTGTGCTTAGAGCACTTGTGTGCAGTCAGGTGTCTGGCTCAAGGCCACTGTCCCTGAGGAGCACCTGGCAGAGCTGAGCTCTTGGCTCCTGTCTGCCCATCTCAGCTGCATGCTGGGCTGGCACAGGAGGGCTGGGCTGTGTCCCCAGGGCCTGACTCAGCTCTGCACAGATGGCTCCCAGGGCCACACTGCTGAGAACCTGATGAGCTGAGCTCAGTGTGTATTCTGTAAACTGTCACTTGGCATGAGTCCATCTGGTGACAGAAGTTGTTCCATGTGTTTAGATCTCACAGCTGGAAGAGTCACTCAGGAAGTCAGTGCTGCAGCTGGAGCGGCTGCAGAGGTAAGGACCCTGGCTGCCCCTCCCACTCAGACCCCTGGTTGTCACAGGGCACAGAGGAAAGGGCTCTTCCAGGTGCTTAGAATTTCCGGAGCAAAAGATGGCAGAAGGGAAAACAAGGAAGGCAAAAAGGAGAGGGCTTGTGCAGACAATGAACCTTGATTTCCCCTACTCTCGAGTTGGAGGCAGTGGGGCCAGCAGATGTGGCACCCTTAAGACTCCTCTGGAGCGTGCTGTCTGCATGCCCACTGAGAACAGTTGGCTGTTTCAAAACCCTCTTATGCTTCCAGTTGGGATAAGTCCCACTTCTTTCAAGTGAGATAACTTTTTGTCATTTAATTCATTGTCTTTATTCCTCTGTTTAGTATGAAATCATCACAACAAACAGCTTTCAGCACCATAAGGAATTCAGTTGCAAGTGAGTAAAATAAAGCTGGAAAGGGGAAGAATACAAAGATACGTGCTGCCAGTCACACTAACCATGTACTAACACGAAGATGTTTTATCCTCACTCCTTCAGCAAAGCCGGATGGGTACGTGTGGCTGCCACCCAACACATCAGCCCCTGACAGGTGTGTGGACTGCTGGGACAGTGAGACTTCGGGCAAGTTGTGGGGCCGTATGTCCCGTGGGCCCTCCTACATTTCACTTCTCAACCTGCTACCCCTTCATGTCCTACTGATCCAGAGCCTGGACAGTTTGCTGGGCATCTGGCTCCCTTCGTGCTCTTCTTACCTCTGTGTGTGACCCAGGTCCCTGGGTCCACACTGTGATCCTGTCTGGCCAGGGCACTGTCCCTGCAGCCATAGCCACTGGCATGGACACAGTTACATGACCTGGTGTTCTGGGAGCTCTAGCTTCACCAGGGTTGCAGAGCCAGAGTGGCTGGCAGCCCCTCCCTGCTTGGATATGGAGGGGCTGGCCATGGGCACCCATGGGTGCCTGTCACAGGTGCTCCTTTACCTGGCGGATGGCCCCATACCTAGCTGGCAGACCTGGGACCAGGTCCCTCAAGTAGAGACCTCATTTAAGTTGCTAGATGCCCAGGTTGCTTGTTGGTACATGCCTGACCATTGCTCTGGCCCTGGGAGCCTGACCTTGCCTCCCCATGTCCTGGGGAGAACACTCCAGGGGAAGGAGCAAGGCTATGGTGCCATGACGCTAAGGGACTGACTCATAGAGATCTCCAGATCCCAGTGGGGAGCAGAGCCCTCCACCTTGAGCTCAAAGGCAGGCAGAGGATGATGCCCAAAGACCATTTCTTTCCTGGGTCCAGGGTCCCATGCACCTAGGTCTTCCCAGGGGAATTCTCACTGGTGGGCTAGATCCAGCAGGCTCGAGTTCTCTGGGGTCATGCCATGACCAAGAGGTGGTCCCTGTGTCATGACTGCACAGGCCACGTGGGTGGGGTCAGTGGGGCCATCAGGTAGGCTGTATCTAGCTGTCCTGCTGGAGGAAATTATGGTCAGAGGTCTGGATCAACACGCTGAGGACCTGGGGAGGTAGAGCTGAACACAGAAGGGGGACGGTTTGGCTTATATTCCATATGGATGGGGGGCCACATAAAGTGAGAGAGTTCGCTACACATGGGCTGGGTCATCAGAGCCACCCTTGGACTGCTGAAGCTGTTGAAGAGAGGTCACCTCTGGGCTGAGGAGAGCTGGGGGAAGACAGGCCCACAGGAGTTTCCCTGACAACCTTTGGGTGAACAAAGGACCAACACGGGTCCAGCACCAACAGCATAATATAGGGGCCAGGCAGTCCATGTTACCAAAGGCAAGTGATATTCCTGCTGGCAGGGGTCTAGTACTGTGCCTGCAGGTGGGAGCTGGACGAGCTGAGGGCTGGGATGGGATGGAGCAGCAGGAGCAGGGAGCTGCCAGGTCCCATGCTTTGCAGGGTGCTTTGATTGTATAGACAGTAGGCATCCAGTAGCTTGCAGGAAATGATTGGTGTAACACCTCACCCTGACAGCACACGGGAAGAAGGAGGCTTCAGATACACATGGTCTTGCTTGGTACAGTGTGCTTAACTGATGTTTTTAATTATAGTTAACTCATAGGCCAAATTAATGCATTTCACTGCTTGACAGGGTGGAGTCAATGGAGATTGACCTTACGCCTTCCCCAGTGAGGAAAGTAAGTACCTCTGCTGCCACTGTGCTGTGCTCCTGTGTCACATACCTAGTGCTTAGCTGTCCTCAGTGCTTATAAACAGACCTGGTCACTTAACAGCAGACTGACCTCTAGCAGTGCCTCTGCCCATATCTGGGGTCTAAACTCAACCCCAGGGGACCCTCAGGAACGCTGTGTTCTGCCCAGACAGCCAGCCCCATGACCATGGGGAGGGTGGCAGGGTCCTGTGCTGCAGAAGCAGCAGTGCCAGGGGCCAGAGGAAAACAGAAACCCTGTCAGTCCAGAAAAAGAAGTGGGTTGGCAATGTGAGGACTGCAAAGGAGAAGGACGCAGCTACCGATCAGAGAGAACACAAGGCCGAAGCCCAGGAGGCTTCGGTGGTCCCATCACCTGCCCAGTCCAGGCAGAGCTGGGTGTCCTGTGTGCAGCCGGCCAGGACAGACACCGGACAGCTCCAAGAAGGGGTGGAGACAGCAGAGTGCGAAGTGCATGGCCAGGGCGGGTGCTGTGATAGTGCTCGGTCATTACCCAGTCTCTTTCTCAAGAGCCTTCCTGGTGCTGCGATCGGCAAGCACCGATCTATGTGCTATGGAGCAACTGTGCTTCTGGGGGTGCCCTCCCCATAATGGGCAGAGCCCAGATTGAGCAGAGATGCAGGGAGACCCTGGCGTGCCCACCCAGAGCTGGGGCCCCATCTGCTGGCCACAGAGAGCAGTGTGCACCCTTCTCTGCACATGGACATCCTGTGACTCCTGGGGCGGCCGGCAGATGACTTCTGCATGGAGGCTGTGACTCTGAAGGAGCGTAGGACTCCCACTGTGCAGGTGACCAGTACTGACGGGTGTTTTCCGAAAGGTGAGGCCATGACTCAGACATGATGCAAACTTCAGTCATGGAGGAGGAACCAGTAAATGTGAACACTGGTGGAGGGGTCAGGGCACACTTGGGTCAGGGACCCAGGAGCACCCCCATGGGCCCACGGCAGCCCAGGATGAGATGCTTCATTGCAGGACAGCTCAGACCCACAGGGCTCTCATGCCTTCCTTCTGACAGCAAAACACTCTGGCTTTCCTGGAGCATATGTTCTTGGCAAGAAACCTCCAGTGAGCAAGCTGTAACTAGAGGGCAGAAGATAGTGTATTTTGACCATGTCCCTTGAGCCAAGCCCATCTGCTGTCCTGGCTCTAACCCAGCAGGAGTCAGGGTGAAGTATGGCCCCTGCCAGGGCATTGGGGTGGGCGACACTGTGTGCTGGCTCTCCCCTTTGTGTGGAGATGTGTGGGAGATGCCTGTGAGAAAAGAGAATTTGGAAAAGCTGCTGTGCCTCCCCTTGGAGGTCGGCACTGTCAGAAGGCCGAGAAGCACTGTGGTTCCCAGGAATGCCACTGAGAGCCTCCGTGCTCCCCAGGTAGCGCCATGGCCTCTGCCACTGTGGCCCCCTGCATGACCAACAGAGCAGAGTGACCGTGGAGGCCTGGGCACAGCCCAGTACAGCTGCCAACATCCCAGACCAAGGTGGCAGCTCCCAGACAAGCCCAGGGGTGCAATATCATATTCCAGAAGCCCAGACTGGAAATGAGGGGCAGAAGTGAACAGCACCCCTCCTCAGGTGCCTACCTCTGCCTCTGCCACAGTGAGCCCCACGGCCACCAATCAAACTCCCTCTGTATGGCTCATTAGCCTCTCCAAACTCATGTTATAGCTATTACCAGGTTCTCCCCCAGATGGGGCTCAAGCACCAACCCACAAACATGAGCCTATGAGCCTTTGTAAGCTCGGGAAGAAGCACTTACCTCACCCTAGACCCAGCTCTTCTCTGTGAATTTCCAGTAACCTCTGGAGGGTTGATATTCACGGGAGTGCACACACCAACCTAGCTGTGGCTGTGGAACCACTGGAAGGACTACTGGAGCATAATGTGTGGATCTTCTCATGGGTTACCATCCAGTCCCAGACCTATTGGAGACACTGGGCACACTGCAGACTCAGACTCCTGGGCCCTTGGGCTTGGTGGGCAGCATAGATGGGGGCTCCAGGGGAAGAGGGAGGACCAGCCAGGCCCAAGGACACATGGAAGTCAGCTCCAAGTGGAGAAGGGGATGGCAGGCTTCTCTTTGAGAGCTGTATTAAAGGCATTACAGACCCTAGGAAGGAGCCAGAGTCCCTGGAATACACCCACCCCTGACAGGTGGGAGGAGCACCCAGACCTGCCCAAGCAGGGACATCCTTTGTGTCTTCGAGTGCCACAGAGGCTGTGGCACAGGAAGGGAACCCCTGTCCCTAGCTGCATCTGCATCAGCTGCCAGGCTGGGATTTTGGTGTGGGCCAGTCCCTTCACAGTCAATGTGCAGGACCAGCAGGACAGCATCCAGGGCTCAAAGTGGAGCCTCCAAGGACACAGGCTCCTCGGGTGGACCTGCCTGCAGGTCACAGGGTTTGTGAGTGGCATGCCAGGGAAGGTGACACCGAGGACTTGGCAGGCACATGTGATGATGGCAGAGTCTGGGCCTGATGGGGAGGTGAGAGGCCAGGCCAGGAATCCAGCCTTGGGGAGGGGCTGACGAGTGACCAGCAGAGACTGTGGCCACCAGACACCTCAGGTCGTGTAGGGCAAGGGCTCACAGCTGCAGTCAGTCACACAGAGACAGTGACAGCCTTGCCTTGACGTGCTCAAGTGGGGAAAAGGGGTGCAGGGGGCCCAGCACAGTCTGCTCCACAAGGAGGGGTCACTCGGGGTAGTATGTTGCCTGCCTTCCTCTCCTGAATTGCTGAAAACACTTGCTGGGTCCTGTGTCCATTCGGTGTCGCAGGACCTGGTGGGTCAGGGAAGAATCGGGAATCCCACCCCATGTCAGCCAGTGGGACTCGTGTCCACATGGAGCCAGGGCAGACGGAACTCTGCCAGGCTAAGGAGAAGGAGCTCACAACATGGGTTCTTAATGAACAGTGGATTCTGACCCCACAAGGGGCAGAGTAGAAATCTCACCAGCTGTTTTCTCTTGTGTGCTTAGCCTGAGGTCACGGTGGGCCCTGTGAGAATCTCCGTGATTAGTCCGCCTCAGGATGGACGCATGGGTGAGTAATGTTCCCATAACCTCCCTCGGATCCATGCACCAGTGCACATGCATTCTCTGAAAGCTGTGATAATCAGAGCTGTCAGACTCACCCGGGGAGGCTGAGCTGCCCTGAGCACCAGGCTGTGCAGCACTGGGGCCTTAAGGGTGAAGCTCACCGGAGATAGAAGCTCTTCTTATAGTTTTAATCAAAAGTTGTGTGGCTGAATTTGCCTGTTGGTATTCAACTCGGGTCAGTAGTCCTTTTCCCTGCAGACCCAGGCTTGATGAGCCCTCCAGGCCTCAGTCTGTCCCTCCCCGCGGGCTCCCCACTGTCCCTGTCCTCAGCCCCTCAGGCCCCGTCCCTCCTCACAGGCTCCCCACTGTCCCATCCTCTTCAGGGCTGCATGACTGCCTGTTCTCTCCACTCCAGTGTGGGAGCCCTCATAAGAGCCCAACTCTAGGGCCTGTGGGCTTGTACCACAGAGCTTGCTGAAGGAGCAGAGCTCTGAGCAGTGTCCCCTGCCTGCCCTGCGTCACCAGCAGCCTGTACAGGTTGCTTCCCCCATGTCAGGTTCTCACAGGGCTGCTAGCTACTCTGTGGCCCTCCTGGGCTCCCAGGACCACCCCTAACCAGCTCGCTCCCCTAGGTGTCCACAGACACTGTTCTTGCCAGGCTTTCCCTGCTCTTTGGGTTCTCCCTCCCCCTCCCCCTCCCCCTCCCTCTCTCTCTGTCTCTCTCTCTCTCTGTGTTGAGAAGCTATGCAGGGGCCTGGCTCACACAGCCCAGAGGCTGAGCACCACCTCAACCCCTTCTCAGCAGTGTCCACTGTGCTCTGTGCCTGCCAGTTTGCAAGGAAAACATTTTGGTTTTCATTCCTGTGACTGCTGATGATCCTGAGTGTTTCGGTTCTATTCACCCCTTGTTCTTTTTCTGATTTACCTGTTTCTGTCCTTTGTTCTTTGTGTATATGACATCCTTAATATGAAAGATATTGATCTTTTAGCCAATTTTCTTTGTTATTCTGTATTTGACTTTTAGAAATTTAGCATTTTTAGCCAGGCCTAATGGTACATGCCTGTAATTCCACCACTCAGGAGGCTGAAGCAGGAGGATAGCCGCAAGTTCAAGGCCAGCCTAGGCTACATGATGAGTTCAAAACCAGCCTAAACTACATAGCGAGACCCTGGCTCAAAAAACTATAAAAAAAAATTTTAAATAGAAATTTAGCATTTTTAGTCAGATACAGTGGTGCATGCCTGGAATCCCACTCTGGGAGGCTGAAACAGAAGGATCATAAACTTGAGCCCATGGGACCGGGGATTTAGTTCAGTGGTTTTGCTGTCTGCTGCACAAGCACAAGGACCTGAGTTCAATCCCTGGTACCAAAAAAAATAAAAATAATAAACTTGAGCCCAGACTGGACAACTGAGCAACACAGTAAGGCCCTGTCTCTAAGATACAAAATAAAGGGGCTGGAAATGTAACTCAGTACAAAGGCTCTGGGTTCAGTCCCTGGTACCCCACCAAAAAAAAAGAAGAAGAAGCTTAATGTGTTTCTGTACTCAAATCTATCATTACTGTCTTTTTTATTTTATAGCTTTTTGTGCTGAGGTAGGTTTTTTTTGCATAACTCAATCATATCTCCTAGGTGGTTTCTGTAGACTTCATTTTTCACAGCAGTTTTGTGTTCACAGCAAAACTGAGATGAGAGCACAGAAATTTCCCACATATTTCCTGCCCCTCTCCGTTTGTAGCCTCCCCATCACAGTGCCTCCCACAGGATAGAGCTTTGCTGTAGTAGATGAAGCTGTGTCCACACCACATTGTCCCCCATATCTGTCGTTTGATGCTGTGTGTGTTATGACCACAGTGTCGTGGAGGATGTTCACTGCCCTGAGAGTCCCCTGCACTCCACTCTCACCCCTTCCTCCCCCAGAAACACTGGCCTTTCCACTGTCTCCAGAGTTCCTTTTTCCAGAAGATCATCCAGCTGCACACTTGCGCGGAGCCTCTGCAGTGGACTCTTCCTCAGAGAGATGTGCATGTATGGTTTCTCCATGTCTTTTCATGGCTTTTAGCTCATTTCTTTCTAGTGTTGTACGCTAATATTTCATCGTCTGGGTGCACCATAGTTTATTCATTCACCTACTAACGGGCATCTTAGTTGTTTCCAAGTTTTGGCCATTATGAAAAAAACTGCTGTAGATGTCCATTTCAGACTTCATGTGGACACAAGCCTTCAAGTCCTGTGGGTGAATATCAAGGACCATAGTTACTCCTGGAACCTGTGACAAGAGCAGGTTTGGTCTGGGAAGACACTGCCAAGCTGCCTGACAAAGTGCTATCCCATCTTGCGTTTCCACAGCCATGAGTGGCCCCTGGGGCTCGGCATCCTTTCCAGGGCCTCAGATACACAAAGCAAAAACTTACAGATTAGAAGGGAAAAATCAGCTCAACAATTTCATTTTGAGATTTCCATGCTCTTTTCTAAGAGATAGTAGAACAGCTAACAAAAAAAGTTGTAAAAGGAAGTGGGAACAAAAATATATGAGACATACATAAAACAACAAAGTGGCAGGCACAAGTCCAACTACATCAGTAATAGCATTTAACAGAACACATTGAAGGCTACAGTAAGCAAGCACAGACTCAAACTGGCATAAAAAAGATCTAGAAGGATGCTGTCTATAAGAAATAACACTCCAAGGGCACAAAAGGTTGAAAGAAAGTTATAGAGCAGATACATCAAGGAATAGCAACCAGAGACTACTGAAGTAGCTGTTATTCATATCAGGCTCAACAGGTTTCAAGACAAAACTTGTGGCTAGAGACAAGGACATTTCATGATGGCAAAAGGATCTATATATTAGGAAGACATAACAGTTATTAGTGTAAACACACCAAAAGAGGGCCTGAAAATAGATGCAGCAAAACTGATGAAATGAAAATGAAATCATTAATTCAACAATCATGATTTGGGTATAAAACAACTAGATAGATAATTACTAAGAAAATAGAGGATTTCACCAGTACTCTTGACCACATTGGCTTACGTGACAAATATAGACGCCACCCGACAAGAGCAGAAAAATATTCTCTTTGGCTACAAATGGGACATTCTTCAGAACAGACTGGATATTAAGACCTAAAAAAACTCCCAACACATCTTAAAGGATTGGAATCATACAAAGTGCGTTCCCTGACCACAGTGAGATTAAATTGGAAATGAACAACAGAAAAAATCTGAGAATAAAACAAATAACACACTTCAAACTAATCCATGGGTCAAAGAAAAAAATCACAAAAGAAATTAGAAAATATCTTGAACTGAATGAAAATATATGTTAAGTTTATGTCTTGCAAGAAAAGCCATGTTTATAGCTTTAAATGCTTGGGGAGAGATCTTTTGAAAATAGTACGGGAACCAAGAAATGGGGGTTGGGCCGTAAGGAAGAGTTAAGATGTGGTATATATGTGCATCAACTCCCCATGAGAAATGTAATCAGCATGCAGTGCAAATGTATTAATAAAAAGGTTTAAATAGAATAAGGTAAAAAATAAAACAGAGGCCAGGGATTTAGCTCAGTGGTTCAGCCGCCTGCCTCGAAAGTGCAAGGTCCCGAGTCCGATCCCTGGTACCAAAAAAATTTTTAAATAAAATAGAAAGGACAATCTGAGCTCAGTAAGCTTAAGATACTAAGCAAATAGCACAGATAGAACTGATAGAGATGATTAATGGAACCTAAAGTTGGTTCTTTGATGAAATTACCAAAATTGACTCAAGAAGAAATAATAAATCTAGGTAAACACCTATCAAGTGAAGTTAAATTGATGATTTTTCAGAAAAAACCAATTTCCCAGTGGCTTCATGGGTCAGTTCTTTCAAACATTTAAGTTCTTTCAAACAATCGCAGTCCTACATGAACTTGGGAAATAGATCAGACACTTGTCAGTTCCTTTTATGGGCTCAGTAGTAGCCCTGTAACAAAGCTGAAAAACACACAAAAGAAAACCCACACCAGTGTTCTTCCTGAGTATAAATGCAGAATTCTTTAAAAATACATTTGACGATCAAATCTAACAACATATATTTGATCCTCGGTACCAAAAAATAAAATAAAATAAAAATCTAACAACATATAAAAGATGTTTTACACCATTTCCAGGTGGGATTCATCCAAGTTATTTATGTTGATTTGGCATCAGAAGGTCAGTTAACATCATAAAGTATGTTAATAGAATAAAGGACTAAAAAAAAAACAACAAAATCTTTTCAATAAGAAAAGAACATGAGGGGCCGGGGATTTAGCTCAGTAGTTTTGCCACCTGCTGCGCAAGCACAAGGACCCAAATTCGATCCCCAGTACCAAAAAAAAAAAAAAGAACTTACCAAACTTTAAAGAAAAAGACTTGCCAAAGTCTCAATGAAAATGAAGTAAAAATTTCCTCAACTTGATAAATAGGATCTTTAGAGAACCTATTGGCCAACATCATAATTAATGTTGGAAATTTTTTAAAATTTGTTTTTGCAGTACTGGAAATTGAACCCATGGCCTTGCACATGCTAGGCAACTGGTTAACCACTGAGCTACAACACCAGCCCTTTTAAAATTTTATTTTGAAATAGTGTCTAAGTTTCCCAGGCTGGCCTTGAACTTGGAATCTTACTGCCTCAGCCCCCTGAGTAGCTGAGATTAGAAGTGTATACCAATACATCCCACAGTGTTCAAAGAGTGGATATTTTTTCCTCTAAGGTCAGGAACAAAGCACAGATATCTACTTCTGCCACATCTATATGAATTGTACTGAGCTTCTAGCTAGTGCACTGAGGCAAGAAAAAGAAACACATCAAAGCTGAGTGTGATACCACAGGTCTGTGACCTCAGCTCCTCAGGAAACTGAGGCAGGGGGGTCATGAGTTCAAGGTATTCAGTGAAACTGGGTCTCACAAACAAAACAGAAAAAGGGAAAGGAAAGAGAAAAGGCATATGGGTTGGAAATGTCACTTTATTGGTGAC